AAAATAAAAATAAAATGATTTTCAAAATTCTTATGACTAGTGATTCTTAGGACTAGGACACCTTATATAAACTGCCCTAAAATTAGACGTTAAATTCCAAAATTGAAAAAAATTAGGGGGTTCCATTTGAAATAAGCAACTTTTTGAGGTTTAAAAACATGCAAGTTTAGAGGCTAATTGAGCGGTTTATGGACATCTCTTTATGAATAAAAACATATCTGCACGTAGATTATTAGATCCTTTTGGAATCCCAGAAGACTGTTTTCCAAATTCGCAGCGGGTAAGGCACAGCATCGATTTATGTGGAACCCAGTAACTGTCAAAGTTTTTCAGATACAATTTTCGATATAAATGTACATTAGAATTCGACGACAAATCGGAAAAGCGCAAAAAAGAGAGTTTCATTTAAAAAAAACATAGTTAGTTACTACCACACGTTTATAACGCATACTGGAAAATAATTTTAAAATCCACATCTCAGAAACACGAAAAACTTTCGTGTGCGACATTTGTCTCACTAAATTCATATTTACTGAGATATCGCACTTTGACGCACTAATGAGCAACCCTGTATAGAGTGATTTCCTGCTGTTAATGGCAGGGTTAAAGTTTTCAATTTGAAGTGGACCTTTATTATGTGGAAATGTGTGAAGTGCGAGCTTTCTCAGTTGAGGCTTAATGGATAGACAATAGAGTATGGGGCACCAGCTTGCAGTAAGCTGGTAAGAAGGATTTATATCTATCTATAAATCCCTCAGCTTCAACTAAGTTTCGTTTGTCGAAAAGCAACTGAAGTTTCAAGGCTTTCTCTATTTTCTTCTTCCCTTTGATAGTTTCAAATAATCGGACTTTAGATTAAGTTTTTGTTATACTAAAGAATGTTGTTCTTTCTTTCCAGGTGGCACAATGCAGTTTTCGGTAAGTTTGGCATTACTTTGTTCCTGGTTGCCATATAGATTGCTTTTAGACTCATATAGGCTTGTATTTTATGATATTGTTGCATGTAATATTTATACGACACGGGAGTTTCTGGATTCTCGATTGGGTTTTTACATGAAAACTTATAACATATACATAAAATTAGTGTCGTTCTGCTGTAAATTACGCTTTAATAGTTATTTTGATTTGTGAATTACAATCTAATTTAAAGAGTTTTTGTATTCTCAGTAGGGGGATCGTTCGGGTTTTCGAATTCTAAGTAGTTTTCGTTTAAGTTAAGACACAAGCGCACAGGTAAAATAAGAAGCAGGCAAATTAAATGTTTGCTCTTTTTAATGGTAATTTTGAAGAAATATTGGGTTTTTAGGGATTTTGGGCGGTCAGGACATGAACAGCAATTTATTTTGTARTGGTAGATGGCAATCAGGGTTGCAGTTTTTATTTTCCTCTCTATTTTGGATTGTTGTTAAATTTCGTTCGCTGTTTTTACGGAATTCTTATTGCGGCTTGTGCGGATTTTAGATACCAATTTTTTGTATGGCAATGTTCGTTGTATTCTCAAACGCACCATCCCTACCGCGATTTTTCAAATGTTAAATCCCTACACTCAACTTTTCAATACTAAGATGTCCCATTAGCAGCAGTTGACTGTTACCATATGAACTATGATTTCGATGTAAAATAAGGGTGTTCTGTTGTAAACACGCCTTACATTGCCTTTGAAGTGACGATAGGTAAAACTTGTCTATTGTTTCAACTAGTTGTGGTGCTTAAGACATACGAACTGCTTCATAAATTTCTCAGTATTTTTATTTCATTTCAAGCAACTTTATCAATATGTATTAATAACCTCTTGAAGTATTAATATAAAACATATTTTTCTTTTCTCGTAACAAATTTATATTTTTACAGGTTGAAAATACAAAAAAAAACATCAATGCAATAAATAAGAACAATTTATTTTAAAATTACCTATTTTGGCTTATTTTGTATACTTACTAGATATAGTTAAGGCAAAAATTTACATTGATTACAAAAAATAATCGAATCATTTTCTGTAGAACTCTACAAAAAATAAGGCACAATGCACATTATTAGATCAAACCGTGTGTAACGTTACGTACCTACTAATAATATAATAAACTGCAATGAAATCAAATTACAGCAGCAAAAAAATTACTCCGACTACTTTGTACAACAAAAGAAATAACAATTATTCAACAAATTAATAAAGATTTCATAATAGTGATAATAGGAATGTGGACACTAAAAGTAAAAGAACACCTTACATACTCATGTAAGGTAATAATAAATAATAATAAGTAATAATAAATACTTATTTATTATTGTTAATGGATCTTAAAATATGAAAAGGTTCCAAAAAAGTTACATATTTTAAATTGTACAGAGTTGAAAATTAAAAAAAAAATGTTTTAATGCGGTAATTACTATCTCATTTTATGCAGTTTCCACATATTTCGTGTTAAAGACATTTAAAACTTTGAACATGTGTTCTAAGTCTTCTGTTTCGTTCTGTTCTCTATTGATGTTAAGAAAAGGCATAACCGGAGATGCACCAGAGTGGTGCGATACTTACGATAGTAAATATACAGGGTGTCCCAGACCTGTGTTTCTTTTAGAACAATTCCCGAAAATTTCAGAGCATGATTTTCATGTTAAAGAAATTATAATAAGCTAGTCAAGTTCTTTAAAAATAGCGAAGCAAAAAGTTTGGACGCAACGCAATACAATTTGTTGTTGTTGAAATATATGCGTAGATAATTGAATTACTTGTAAACTTGTCACGCTGTACAACAAAACAATAAGCAAAGAATAATTTGTAACATGCCATCAATAGAACACTGAACATAAACCATTTTAATAGATCAGGGTTTCTCGCCATGTCAAAAACTTGAAAAAAAAATTAGACAGTTGTAACTTTTTCGGACCTCTGTGTATATTTTATTACTTCCAGTGAGAATCCTTTAAAACAATTTATGTAGGAAAAAACTTTCCGTAGCATTTTTAGTCATATTAGTGAAATGGGCATGTACAGTTGACCGGTTAAGTATAATGATCCGAAAGTCAGCTATAATTATTAGCACATCTACTGTCCTAAGTTTTTCTAATGTATAAATGGTCAACAGTCAGTTTAGTTGTATAAACTACTAGTACTAAAAATGTATAAAATACTAGTAAAATTATTAAAATTTATATCGCTTTACTAGATGTAAAGCGGTATCCTCCAGTTCATGCTCACATTTAATAAACTCTAAAAGGATAGTGATGTGCTAATGTAAAAATAATAATTTTAAAATAAGCGTTAGCTGAAAAAGAAATTAGTATGGCTGAAACTGTAATGTATCTACAGTGTGCTAATAATGAGTCGAGAAGTGGGAAATTGGACGAATTGATGTATTTCGAGTAAAGGGGACGACATGTTTTGAGTACGCATTTCCTTCATTCTTAAACGTTTTTTTTAACGAAAACAGTAGCTTTTATTCAATTACTTGTCTATTCGTTGCTTATTCCTACTCTACATATCTCATCGACACTATACAGTAAAATCACATACCATTTTTCATTTGATAAATGAATCTGAGAGTGTTGCCCTTTAACAACGGTCCAGTATTAGAGTATACAAAAATAAAATGCTCATAAAAAAGCACTTTTTAAAAAAATCCCTTTCATGACATCAAATATAATTTCCACCAAGATAAATAGGCGTAATATAATGTCCTAACTTCACTTTAAAAATCTTGAGCTGAATGTTTCTTATACATATCTAATTTGGATAGATTGCAAACTGTTTCTCTCAATGAAAAGTAGGCACTTCTAGGTTAAACCTATATTACGAACTTACCGTGTAATTTGCCAGTAAAGAAAACGCTAGTTTATCTACTGGTGAAAGAATTAAGCTTATTAGTATTTAGTTAAATATGCAATTGAGCTTCAATTCAGCTTCAACCTACGCATACATTTTGGACATAAAAAAATGTTTGAACGAGGGAGTCATCTACGTTTAGAAATGCATTTAATATAGATTTTTTTAAGCATAAACCAGCTTCTGTTAATAGTCTTGGCAATTTCCAATCTCCCATATACAGGTTGTAATATAACGACGGAAATATATTTCAGACTGCATTCTTCAGAAAAAATATATCCGCTAATTTTCCTTTCTAAGATACAGGGTGCTAAAAATAATTGTAATTGAGTTCAGAAAGGCGAGTCGCATTGAAAATAAATTGAGATCGGAGGCGAGCATTTTGAGCGTTCTATTTTGTAATATTCTCTTCGCCTTTTAAATTTCTTAATAAATTGAATTGAGTAATCCATGAAGTCAATTTTTAACAGGTTTTAGTACATTAACAATTTAAGCTTCTGCTAATCATATCTTCTGCTCATCAATCACATATTTTGCCGTACTGAAAGACTTCTTTTGACTATTTTATTTATTTTCTTTATTCCTCATCTTTAGGTTGCTGGTAAGTAAAGGGCGTTTCTTTAGAGATACAGAACTTTAAACTGAAATAAAACTCACGAAAATCATGATAACGTAATGGCACTGGCTTTATTGAAGGCATTATAGCTTAACTATGATTTGGGTTATAATGTGCCACGGCTGGCTCTAATGAAGAGTAATCTGAATGTCTAATTTTCGACCAGTTCCAAACGTCTTCCAGATCATAAAGCACAAAAAAAAGTGCGTTTTCTGGATATAGCGGGGTCTCAATAATGGCTTCTGGATTTTCGTCGCCTCAAATCCGGCAATTTTGTTTATTTATATTACATTTATATTTAGTTTTTGAGCTCGGAAATCGTAAACGGAGCAACCGATAGCTGATTTTAAAAGGTACAATTTTACAATTCGGGTTTCACATCATCTCTTCAATGAACTCAATAATTCCATTAAATATAATTTAATCGATGATGCTAAGAACGTAACTTCTCTAATGACTGTTTTCCATGCTTTGATGTCTAAATGTATTTTTTAACATAACGGTGTCGAATATTTGGAGCGTGAATAAAATAATAGCCCATACTATATTAGATTGGTTAGCGATAATTGAAGCTGAAAGAAAGTCAAATAGAACTAGCATAAGTTTTCTTAACTGATCAAAAAAACTGAACAACTTCCTACGCCAACCTATCACTATGACGTAATATCACATGTTAAAATCAACTTAAACTCTCAGCAGTGCTTGATCAAGCTCGAAGCATTTGGTAATGACTGTACAGACCATATAGCTTCATATGCATAGCATGATATTTCCAGACAAAGCAATGTTGAAACTTCAAGTCGGTTTGTAAAAAGGCCCATAAACGGACCTGGAAGAATTCTTGTAAGAGTGTGTACCTCTTAGGTTGTAGTCCGTATGTCATTTGCCTCCCATTGAAGAATTGGCTGGTAAGGTAGCCGATCGTTGTGGGACGTTTAAATATGGCTTGAGACTGGATCTAGTAGATTCCCTAATTGAAGAACAAGATAGTTAGTTTAGTAAACTTTTAAACCTCAATTATCTTTTAATTATTGTTTAACTTATTTGTATTTTTTTAATGAACAACTTGTCTATTGTCAAATCATGCTCTTATCCATTATTAAGTTGATTTTAAACAGATACAACTGGTCAGCAGCCATCCAAATTTGTATCATAAGTCTCGACAAATGTCAACAACTACATAAGCTACTACAAACAATAAAAAATACCCACCTCTGAATTGTATGAAAACAAAATAGACTAAAAAGTAATGCGTTCTTTAAGTAATGTAATATGTTGCTAGATGCTTTACTGAATAGGTGCATTAATTGTCGATATCAAGCAAAAATTATTAGAAAAGATCTATTCATTTTCCTCTCATAAAGTTCAATGTATTTCCTTAAGTGCTATAGATAATTGAAACAAAATCGCATTTTACCCAAAAACAACAATATCATAATCTAATTAGTAAGTATCGTAGTGTTTTTGGAAAATGGTCAAAAATAGAAACATATAAACTGATATTTGATAAATCTGATAAAATTTAAAAAATTGAGAAACATTTTGAATAAATGGTAGTATGGGAGGTTCTTTTCGTTGTATGTTATAGTTAGCGTGTGACTTTCTGAGTTTCTAGTGTCGTCCATTAATTTCTCGCAATAGTTTTCCTCTCTCTCATGCATGCGTGCTGCTCGACTTCTACGCATATATCGTGTAGGTACTTGTTTTTGTAGTTTCTACAGTGGCGTTAGATCTCTTGATTGAGTCCATTATATTGTTATCTATCCTCTTTCTTGTGTAAGCCCGAGGCCTTAAGTTGTTTCCGCGACTCAATTTTTTTCCAGGTTTCCTCTGCGATCCACGATTTTCTCTCGGATACGTCTTGGTATTCCTGACGACCTCCACCTGGATTTTACTAAGATGTAGTTTTAGTCTGATTTTTATATAGGCCTCCAGGTAAGGTCCAGATGTATAGTCGCCTTGCATGATCTTCATATCCTGTGTTCGTAATGAAAAAGTTGTTCTCAGTGCAGAATTGCAGCAATCGTGATCTGGAGTTTATTTCTCCCAAACCGTATTTGCCGATCACTTTGCGTAGATGTTCATCTCCAGGCTCCCTTCCAACTTTGGCATTAGTCTCCTATTATCATCGTTGTTTCTCGATTTGCTACAGTCTCCAACAAGGTATTAAATTATTGCAAATTTAGAACTTTAAAATAAGAAGAACATTTGAATGTTACTTTAAAAAACAAATTGGTTTTCGGTAGTGCTTTTGACACTCTGCCTATGCATGATTTTAGCATATGCAGAGCACAGATTAAAGAACACTATACTTTAATGTTTCGCCTATCTTCAACCGCTCAGGCGCAAACTATTTTATACTCTTGGGATCATCTGTATAAAAACCAAATTGTGAAAAATAAATTGCAATTAAGAAAATTACGTTGCTCACGATTCAGAACTTAATAACTTCAATTAATGCACCAGCTATTTACACTTTTTAGGCATGCATTACTCTTTAGACTCGTGCCCGCAATATTCCAACAAACACAATACCATATCACCTACAGAAAATCCAAACCACCCGTGCAAGATGTAAAATGGGATGCACCTAAAATAGCAAGTCATAAAAATTAAAAATAAAATGAGATTATCTACACGAAAAAAAAAACAAATTGATATGAGATCTATAAGAAATTAAGACAGTATCTCTCTTTACACTGAAACAAGTATTTTTGTATTGAAGTTATTTAAATTTTGCCAAATGAAACATACAAAAAGAGGACATCTTTATTACTTTATCCGGTAATCATCATATACTTATTCCCTATTTCAGTGCTATCTGTGCGTTTACTTTTAGCCGCTGCTTTTGTGAATAAGGTATTTGTTTATTTAAGCATCACTTGTGTTTAAACTATTGTGGAGTTAAAAATTAATAGCTATTTTCCCCATTCCTAAAGTTTATTCTCTTATTTAATATCTATTAGTCAATGGTTTGACCTTTGAGCAATCTGTTTTCGTGTTATTAATTCCTCTTCAGTAGCTCCTCTTGAAGATATCAGATACTGGATATCCGACCATCTCAAATAGAACATTTTTTGGGATATGTGTAAGAAAATATTTGGTTAAGGCTTTCGGTGTGAATGTGTGAAACAATCAAAACTGATTTTAAACTAYAAATCTACATTTTTTGTTTTTGATTAAATTCACTAATCACACATAAAAAACTTTTTGAACAATTTATTTACACCGGTTTTTATTGTCTTAGAAAACTACAATAAATATAACATGTGATCAGCAATAAGTGCACTCATGCGATGATCTCTGTATAAACATAAATAAATATAAAAGATAACCAATAAAGAATTGCAGTTGATTCTCATAATTTCGTAATTTTCGGTAAACCTGTCAATTCAAATTTCAAAACCATAAAATTTAACTTAAATTTGACAGAAGATATGCTACAACTTTTCCCGTAGTTACTACAAGACTTAACGAAAGWAAACGCAACAAAACCAGAAAAAGAATTTGTTTAAAAACGTCCATATTAACAACTATCGATTATACAGGGTAATTCAAAATTGGCGTCATTCCTATAGAGTTATTGTCTGGGGGTGTTGTAGGAGTACAGAAAAAATTAAGAAATTAAAGTAAAGATAGTAAAACAAAATTTTTTAATGAAAATTGAGAGATTTGCAAAAAAACTATATCAGAAAGACGGCAACAATACCTGTTGCTTCGTAATTATTAAAAAACCCGGTAACAATGGAAAAATACAGAGTGACAATAAAATTGGCACGGATAAACGGTAAATTTAACAGAATTTGTTGAATGTGGGAACGTACTTTTTCAAAATGTCAACATTGTCAATAAGAAATTGTTTTTTATTGTCCTCATAACCTCGAATAGATATGTATACAAATAAACATACATTTAAGTCTTTAGGTCCAAACAAGTTAGTGCCTGTGTAATGACCTCATTATGCACTATTCGCGAGCAGCTTTGCGTATTCGGTTAATTATAAGTAACTCCTGCTCAATTTGTACCGGCGTTCAGTAAGCCATTGGTTTTTGTGTCCTTACATACGTAGCCCTTCTTCGGTATTGATATGGTGCCTGAGAAAATGTCAGTTCTTGTGTAATGCTCTGAGTATTATCTTCAATATTTGTTCATCTGTGTCTGGAACCCCAACATCTATTATCATCCACTATCTTCCTGAGACTAATTTGCCAGTGTCTCTAGCCCTTTTTTGACGTGAGTTCTAACAACTTCTGCTATATTACTGTGGCATTTCCGCACAACTAATCGCATATCTGCCAATTCGTGAAAGGAGCTTCAAAGTAAGTCACAGTTTGACAAATGCTCCTTATTTTTAAAAAAACTATGTATCTGTAACTACCTGTTAATGCCAAAAAAAATATTTTCGAATGCTTAAGTATTCTAATATGCTACTAATTAAACATTCGACAATTTCAAATTAATGGTCATTAACAAAATTCGATTTTCAACTGCTAATATCTTCTAGAAATTATCGAAAAGAAATTCAATATTTTTCTCGTACTCTCCAAGTGAGTCCCTATTACCCCTTTAAAATGCCAATTTTGAATTACCCTGCATGTGGTTATCGAATCTAACTGTTGCAAAAACTACATCAAGGAAAAACAAATATTATTCATAGATCGCGACCAAATGAAAACATAATAATAAGCAAGCGTAAATTTCAGTTTATTGCTGGCTCTTGACTGACCCATTGAAATGCACAATATCATAGCTTTCTAAATGAGAATCAGTCCTGAAACACCTTATTAATCAGACAAAAATGAGTAAATGCAGAATGCCCTACATTTAAGTACTAAATTTTAATAATAATTACATGGCCTACACATATCCCTATTACATAAAATCACAGTCTAAATAACAGAAATTTATGAACTAAAATATATCCGTTTTGAGCCAAAAATGATCAAACATAATTGTGCTTTTATCTGGCCAAATAGCATGTATAATTAGAAACTTTGTATAATTAGAAATCTTAAATAAGCAAAGAAAAATGGAATGCTTAACCAACCACTATATAATCAAGTACATGCATCGCAAACAAAAAGACAATAATTGACACAAAATAATAAAAAATATAAAACGTATAGAATATTGTCTTAAGTCATATTTCTTAAAATAGTAAAACTCGTTTATTTCACAGAATCTAAACGCTATTTCAGCTGCCCCATACCGCACAGTACGTAAAAAAAAATCCCGAAGGACTAGATTGAATAAATGCTCGTGCAAACATTATCAGAAAGTACCAAATATCATCAGCTTTGCTGCACACTACAAAAGCTTTCAGATCCACATGCTCGAAATATCATCTCAATTAGGAAGACTTTTTTGACACCAATTCTTCAAATATTTTATGGTTCAAAAATTTTATGAAAATGAAAGTCAACAAGTCTCAGAGTATGGCACCTTATTTGCTCCATACAAAGTAAAGGGTTTTCCAATAAGAGTTCTAATCAACTTTTGCAAGCTTCTCATTTTTGTTTTTTTTTTATTCAATTCGTCCTATCATTCATATTCATTTTTGTTACAATTGCAACTCTTACTTTTCGCTTGTTTGACAAGTCTCAACTATAACTCGGCAACGAGTAATTTGACGTTTCGCAGCGCCCTCATCAGTAGTTCCACTCGCGAATTTGGTCAGCTTTCAATTTTAAAGCTGTCATCTTTTGACATTAGACAAGTAAAAACTACACCATTATTAAAAACGGTACCAAACACGCGTCGACGCACTGAAATTGTTGAAATTCACTACAAAAATGGTGACAATTTTGCAGTTACTGTTCGCAAAACTAAAGCACTTTTTGGTAGCAGTGAATTACGTTCTTGCCCGGCAATAGTGAAACTGGTGAAAAAAATTGAGCTGTTGAGACAAATTAGTGATGTGAAGAATCGAAATCGTGTGCGTCGCTCAAGAATAACTGAAAATATTGCTATTGTAGGGTTGAAGAAAACTCCTGTTTGCCGGTTCCTCGTCGATCATTGGAATTAGACATTCTACAAACGACATCCCACCGTATTTTGCATAAAGACTTAAGTCTTAAGGCTTTTAAAGTTCAGTTAACACAATAACTCAAGCCGGTTGATCAATATAAACGTCGTATCTTCGTTGATTGAGTTCTTTAACTTCATCAAAATAATCCGGATTTTCATCGGAAAATAATTTCCAGTGACCAGGCCCGTTTTCACCTCGAAGGCTACGCTAATAACCAGAATTGTCGCATTTGGGGCTCAAAAAATCCAAGAATGATTGTTGAAAATCCTCTCCATCCTCAACGTGTATCTGTTTGGTGCAGTTTTTGGGCTGGCGGTGTGAATGGCCCTTATTTTTCGCAAGTGAGCAAGCAATGGATTGCGCTACCGAGGGATGATTAATTATTTATGGCCCAAACTGGAGAATATTGATGTGGACGACGTTTATTTTCAGCAAGACGGCGCTTCGTGCCACACAAGCAACGAAACTATAATTGCAATCTTGCAAGAAAAGTTTCCTAACCGTGTTATTTCTCGAAGAACAATTGGCCACCGAGATCTTGTGATTAAACACCTTTAGACTTTTTTCTTTGGGGCCACGTGAAAGATAAGGTCTATGCCAATACTCCACAATCGGTTCAAGGCCTCAAAGATGGAATTCGTGAAGTTATCGAGGACATACAGCCGCAATTGTGCCAATTGATCATGTAACATTTCATGTAAAGGGTATGGTGCTACAAGCGTAGCCCTGGCGGTCATTTGGCTGATTCGTTCTGAAATGATAATGGCATACCTTCCGTTTTACAATCAAATAAACATTCATTGATATCTCTTAAAAAATACTCGTTTTTAGCATCAAAATTAGACCTCTTATTGGAAAACCCTTAATAAAGAAATGTATGTGTTCTAGTTCGTTAGCTATAATACTAGAAATTATTAATGGTTTTCATATCGTCATATTTCCTTTGTGGTTTGTAGATCGTATATGATAAAGGGATGCTACATAACTACATAAAAAATAAAAGCATTAAACTACGAACTTCCATCAAACCTAAATCAAGAAACCAATGAAAACAACCCAAATTAAAAACGAAGGCACTACTTTCTAATAAAATCAAGCGTCTACAAAGGCAAACTCCAAACCTATTTTCATTAACCTGGTCTAAGCAATCTGGTCACTCACCTAGGTGATATTTTTGAAGTGTCAGAGTTTGAATTGTTAGCCTTAAATCCGCATTTTTGTATTTTTTTACTTAGTCGAGACACCCATTGCCTTTGTTCCTCATTTGAGGTTGCAAGGAGTAAAAGTTCTTTGGCATAAGAAGGATCATAGTGTAACTTGCAAGGAGGTACAGTATCTTCTTTTCGCTCCAGATGATCTTTATGGATTTTAATCCTACACCCTGAAAGGAAATAATATGTGAATGCAAATTACAATGATACATTGGAATTTGTTTAATTAAAGTACATAATTATGGATATTTAATATTCTTACTTCGACATTCCAACGCCGGTGGAGGCCTAAACATGTGCCAAAGCTGTTTGGGACACACCTCACAAGCCGTGGGCATGTGATAGGATATGTTGAGGAACTCGTGACCTTTGTGGGCAATAAAACCTGGTTGCTTATCTTCGAAACTGCGAACTGAAGAAGTGTCTAAAGTGTTGTTGGGTTCTTCCGAAGGTTTACGCGCTTCTCCTTCTCCCAAATACAGCAGTTGAAAAATACGAGGAATATCTTTGGAATCCGCACGAATCACGTCTCCTTGTGTCACTGATCGCACGTGGAACACCTTGCTGTAAATATTGTTGTCGATTACAAAAAGTTTCCAGATATGACACAGTTTCACATAAAAGATGTCGTGTAGAGGACGACTCCACTAAAAAGGGTACCTAAGACGTACACTTCGGGGGTAGCGGCAGTCGGTAAAAAGACAAACTTCGTTCGACAAAATCGCGTGTTATTGACCTATCGCGGGCTTTTCGCTTTTTCCGAACCTACGGGTTTGCCACCCGTGTCGCTTCCGACCCAAACAGCTGTTGAGTGGTGTGGGAATTTTTTTTTTTAATTCCTTGCTGGTTTAGGTAAAATCATGCTGGCATCCCTGGATGAAACTTTTTAAGCCTAGTGCCCCTTTTGATTTAGTTTTTAATTTCAGTTTTTCGTTATTCTACTTTGGACAGAGCTGTATATTTTAGCGAAATTTGGTATACAGAGGTTTGTGAGCATAAGAAATCCAAATCTATCATCAGATTTTCATCAACTTGTAGAAAAAACCACTTATGGCGATACCTGGGCAAAAAAATTGTTTTAATGTTTTGGCCACCTGGTATTCTGACTTCTAAACTGGTTGGATCTAATCGCCTATTAATTTTGTACAAAAAAGGTATTCTTAGTCGATGTCCCAACAAGCCTCTGTTTCCGAGATATTTGCGATTACACCGCAAAATGCAGTATTTACAAAAAATAAGCCACAATACGTATCCAAGTGTAAATATTTACTAAACATCATTCTTTAACAGTAGGATCTTTTCATATTAATCACTAACAATAAAAGATTCATTTTCTACAGCAATTGCTCAAAATGTCCCCCGTTAACTTCAATACATTTTGAAATGCGTTCTTTTCGAAATCATTCGGCGGCATTCATAATTTAATTTATCAACTCATCTCGGATGTCTACCGTTTGATCGTACACTAATAATTTTAAATAACCCCAAACACAAAAATCTAATGGGTTAAAGTCAGGACTTCGAGCCGGCCAAGCCCAAGAACTTCCACGACCTATCCACCGATTTGTAAAATGTTGGTTTAGGTAATTACTGACGGTTCTAGCAAAATCATCCTCTAATAAATTCTGTACCGGCGTAAAATTGTAAGGATGGAAGTTCCTTGCTGAAAAATCCTATGAACTGAAGTTTGCCAGTTGCAGTTTCCAATCGTCTTGTGCTTATTTCTAGATTTTCTCCAACACGAACCAGAACGTCTTCCTCTTGTTCTGGAGTTGAAATTTTCGGACGTCCCAAGATATTAACTTTATCCACTAAAATTTGGCTGGACATAAACTGTAACCATACCACCCATTTGCAAGTTCGAAAAAAATTATGCCTTGGCATAGAACCTAATTGAAATCAAAACTTAAGTATGTACTGGAACTAGTGTCACTTTGACAGACACCAAGTAAATCCGTGTCGCTGTGTCACACTACTTGACATGCATTGTAAAATGTCCTCACAATTCTGTATTTTGCAGTTTAATCGCAAATATCTCAGAAACAGAGGCTTGTTGGGACATCGACTAAGAATACCTTTTTGTGCAAAATTAATAGGCGATTAGACGCAACCATTTTAGAAGACAGCATACCGGGTGACCAAAAAGTTAAAACCATTATTTGCCTAGATTTCGCCGCAAGTGTCTTTTTCTACAAGTTGATCAAAATCGGATGGGACATTTGGATTTTTTATACTCAAAACCTCATGTATAACAAATTTCGTTAAAATATGCAGTTCCGTTCACAGTAGAATAACGAAAACCTGAACTTAAAATGTAAGTTTGACGCCTGTATGTCGGCAACCGTCAACTTTTGGACTAAGGTAAGTTGTGTTAAATATCCGCCATTTTCTTTTGCGCCATTACTTTTGGGACACCCTGTATTTCCAAAGTTGTGCGTTCACAATGGAACGGAAATATAACGTGTTTAACCGGAATTCTGGTGGGGAACTCGACCACGCCAGGGACAACGAAATCGAGGACTCTAAGGTCCCCCAAATAAAAAGAGATAAAGCGATTGAACGTGGAACCCAGGGCCCGCCACCCCCGCGCTCCTCTACTTCGAGCGAATGCTACGGCTTTGAGACTACAGCCCCAGGCAACAATGTATTACGATTATGTAACACAATCAACTCAGCAAAATTTTAAAATAAACTAAACTGAGTGTTACTGGCATTAATTAGACATGTTTTGTTTCTTACCACAAGTCGAGAACAATCACTGGATCAGTATTTTGTTTATCGTTTTCCGAATTGTAAAATATGATTTTTCTGCTAGAAACCACGACATACTGCTTCTTCCAACCATATCTTTTGATATTTTGCTTTGAGGGAATTGATAACCAGCCCTCAAATACATAGTCAGAGTTAATATCATCTCCTTAAAGAAAGAAAAATGTGAAAATAATTTGATAATTTTAATGATATATAAAAGATGTTTTTTAGAGGTATATAACATAAATTGAAATAAAACTCATAAAATTAATGTTAAGGTCATGGTACTGGTTTTATTGAAGACAATTGTAGCTTAAGCATGACTTGTGGCATTTGGGCGCCGCGGCTGACTCGAATGGAGAGCAATCCACGAAAGAAGTCCAATGTTTGACCAATTTGATTCCACTAGACACTAGACCATAAAAAAGCACATCAAATAGTTTTTCTTGATAGTTTTTCTGGAGCTAACGGTGTCTCATTAATGGCTTTCGGATTTTCCTCGCTCCAAATTCGGCAATTTATTTCGAAAATCGCTGTTCAGTTAGCCAAAACACTTTGCGCAACGTTCATTTTACGAAATTCAGCGAAATAATGGCTGTTTGCCCAAAATGTTGGTTCAGTTTGCCCAAATAAGCAAAATTATATATATGCAATATGGTCTGGAAGAAGTTTGGAAGGGGTCGAAAATTGGACTTCCACATTCTCTTCATTCGAGCCAGCCGCGGCTTTCCAATACTCAATCAATACAAATCATACTTAAGCTATAATGGCATACAATTGTCTTTTCAATAAAGTCAGTACCTAAAAGGCTTTAACATAATTTTAGTGAGTTTTATTTCAATTTAAAGTTCTATACCTCTAAAAAAACAACCTTAACAATTAAAATTTTTTAATCATAAATAGCTTCAATACCTTCATTATCTGCAGAACTTAAAGACGCCGTCTCACTATTCAGAGCTGCTAATTTTAATTGCAGCTGTTCTATTTCTGCATCTTTACTGTCCAATTCCATTTGAAGACGGTGCTTATTGGCCACCTCTTCGTTTAATTGTACCTAAAAAAAGCCCAAATAAAATTAGTTTGTTGCTTGAAGTCATACAAAGCAAATCTTACGTTCAAATCCTGAATGCTCTTCTGAGAATTAGCTATCATATAGTTATATTTTTCTTTCTCTTGACTCAATTCTTGCTGCAATTTCTTGAGATCTTTTTCTTTCCTTCTTAAATCAATGCTGGAAACCTTAGTTTTGCTGGGTTTCTCCTTAAAGTCCTTTCGGTTCATAATTTCGTGCAACTTGTTGATAGCCGTTTGCTTCAATAAACTTTCCGTCTTCAATTTAGCTCGAAGTTTCTCTATTTCATCGTTATTATCCGAAGTCCTAGAATCAGAAATGCATATATTTCAAACTTAATTACTCTAGTTCTCAATATACCTGTTAAGTTCCTCTTGCAACTGTTTGCATTGTCTCGACAAATCTTCTTTCTCTTTTTGCAGCTGTTCGCTTAACCTCTTCAGATCGGCCTCACGGTCTTTCAAAGCATTAATTGCGGATTCTTTGGCATTAATCTCACTCCTATGCTTCCCTAGCAAGTCCTTTAATTCCAATTCTTTCATTGTTTTTTCTTTCTCCAAATCGGCAACTGTTTCCTCGGCAATTGATCGAGCCAAAGCCTCTGAATCGGCTCTCGCAAGAGCAAGTTGACATTGATGCTTGAGAGATGCACGCTCTTCCTCAAACTCCTTATTAATGCGATTCTTGTCGTCGATTTCTTCTTTCAGTTCTTGCGTCTGAGTTTTATATAAAGTGGCAAAATATTGCTCTGTTTCCAAAGAGTCTTGAAGTTCCTTCATTTGCAGTTGATCCATTTGCCAGTTTCTCTTAATCCTCATCAATTCTTCTTCCAAGATTTTCTTTGAACTCTAAAATAAAGTAAAGATAAGCTGGAGGTGAGAATTGTTTTGGCATAGTTTTATGGGTTATCTTCTATCAGTCTCAATACATTCATAGGGGTAATTTACCTGAATTTGTTGAAGATCGGCTGCCAGTTGAGACTCCTTTGTTTTTAGTTTAGTCAGCTCGTGAGTTTGTTGTGCTATTTCAGAGTGCAATATGGTTTTCTTTTGTTGCTCTTGCTCGACCTGCGAATGAAGCGCTTTTCCTTTTTCGACTTCCTGTCGATGCTCTCCTTCGAGCTTCTGTAATCTCTGTTGGATTTGTCGATAATCAACAGACAGCATAGATATTTGCCGTTCTTTCTCCTGGAAGTTCAAGTCGGCTTTCTGCCTGGCGTTCTTCTCTTCATTAAGCTTTGTCTGTAATGCTAAAAATGTTCAAAACCAATTTTATTTACTTGTCGCTCAACTCATCAGCAGAACTACTATTTCCACTACACACTCTAACTAACTATTATTATTTATTTACCGGAAATAATTCTCCCCATTAGCTCTGCTTGTAAAAAGTCAATAATTCAAAAAAGGCAAGACTGTAAATTTCAAAAACAAGCACACATACCTTTCACAACTTCCATGTTAGCTTCCTCCTTATTAAGCATACGACTTTTTTCAGTTTCTTCGTGGGCTTTGACTTCTTGTTGATACATTGTTTGAGCAGTGTTGAGTTCAGCGCTTAACCCAGCATTTTCTTTTTCCAGGTACGACACTTTCTCACTCAGTTGTATGTTATCCATCGCTGTTTTACCTTCTTTCTGCTTCACATTATCTAACTCCTTATTCAATGAAGATAATTTATTTTCGAGCATCAATTGATTGTCTGAAGCTTGAGCCAACGATTTTCTCTCTTGATTTAAATGTTCTTGTAAAGCAGCAACCTCAATTTGCAGCGAGTCCTTTTGAACTTCTAAGTTTTGCAGGAGGGTTTGAAATTCGCTTACTTTCATTTCGGAGTTTGACTTAGCCATCGTGAGTTCTGTTGTTTGCTTGCGCAATCGTTGGCAATTCTCCGTTTCGACTTTCAATTTTTCCTGCATTTCACTTATCTGCTTTTCAAGCACGTGAATTTTATCATTGTGCTGTTGGTTGTTGTTCATTTCTTTAGTCCTTCTGTTCTGTTCCTCTTCAAATTTCTGTTTTAGATCAGTCAACAATTTTTCCGTATTTTTTTTCAAGTCGCTTTCCATATCTGCCTTTCGCTGCATTTCCTTATAACCATGTTTCAGCAAAGTTAATTCCTTTTCGAATTTCGAAATTTCATCTCTCAGATCACCTTCTCTTTGAGCGAGAGTGTCCAGTTGAGCTATTAGTATTCGTTGTTTTGCTTCTAAAGTCTCTACATTATTTTTCTCTTGTTCTAATAAAGCCTCTAACTTACTAACTTGAGCTTTAGTACCTTTGTCATTGAAAATATGATTATTTGCTTTACTGTCCACACAGTCGCCTGATAACATTTGCGAATCTGAGTTGTAAGTGAATCCTATGAACGGAAGATGATTTCCAACAAAGGTATTTGGCACAGGAAACACCTGGAATGAAATATTTCTTGTCTCAATAAATTATCTTCAACATCAAGTTTTCAACCTGCACGTATTTTCTTAGAGAATAATATTCGCCCAAAAAAAAATTCGACAATATCGATCACTTAATTGCAAAAACGTAAAATTCACTTTGATCATTGTATCAATTGTACAGTAAGTAAATAGCGCAAATTTTGCAGAGCAGTTAATTTAAAATGTTAATCATATAAAAATGATGATATCAGTTACACTTTTTACTGACTAGTAATATACAATAGTAATACAAGGTGGTTCAAACAGTTCTTGATATACAATGGCGTTGTAGAAAATTGGGTGGAAGGAGAGAAAATTAAGATCGGTCTCAAGATAGTTTGGCTTAGGAAAATTTAGCCACAATGCTACGTTACACAGGGGAGAAGCGTTCTTTTGGTGTACGCGAATATTACGCTTTAAGTTAGTTATTTAGTTCTTATTATTATCTGCACGATATTCAGCAATTAACATTCTTTAATTAAGCAGTGAGTTCTAAAGTTTGGAAAAACGGGTTCTGCGTTAAATAAACGTGCCCCTGGACGCTGGCCAGCTTGAATTATTGAAGATCAGCAAGTTCGTAACGAGAATTAAATAACAGAGTTCCGAAGGTAAACATTACTTGAAAAATGTTCCCAATGAACAACTCCAGGTATTTCAACAACTTTTACGCGGTTTACGCTTTAAAATCTATACTTTTTTTGTAAACCTGAGCTCTTTATCCCCCAAATTTTTGTCATATCGATCGATCGATAAAAATTTGTTTTTGTTGTTGTTGTTCATAATTTTTCACTTCAAGAAGTTCAGTCATCTCTACATCCTAACGACGAAGTTATTGCATCAGCAATAATGGGAACAACAAGTTTAACAACTAATGAAAACATTTTCTGCTATTTACTCTCGATTTCCCTATATAACATCAAGTTCGCAGCCCTTTTTTTCTATATCGCCATAAGCATGGGTTTGAAAATACAATAAATGGAGAGAGAGGTAAAAAACGACAAAAATACAGACAAATATAGTGATAAACGAGCAATTCTTAGGCGTCTGGCTCTTTTATACCCAAAGGTTGGTACAAAGTCCGCCACAACAGCAATGGAATGAAGTTGGCGAGCCTGTTGGACTGTCAAAATTTTCTCAATTTTGATTGGTCACCAAATCCGACAACAGCGACTGCGTGCTTACTGGCATTGCCTATCACTCAAGAATGCTATTTTTTACTGCTGGGGATGGTGATCCGGGAGACTCTCTGGGATACTCCCTTCTGTCAATGTCAAGAATAGACACACTGATATCAACACGCGGTCTCAAGTCCAATCTTACTTTGGCCTGGCATTAGTGCGTTTTTCGCGAAAGTTGATTTTCTAAGCGGAGAGATTTAATGGCCCCCGCGAAGCCCTGATCTGAGTCATTGTGATTTTGCTTAAGAAAACACATCTCAAGAACATTTAGAGGTCATTTTCAAAAATAAAAATTTTTTCAGAATATTGCAGATGTCAAAAATTAGTTTATTAAAATTGACCAGTAATTTTCAGATCATTTAAAAAAGTACCGCTTTTTGGACCACCTTGTGCCTCCAACTAAAATTTTGCTATTCATAGGCCAAGCTATAGGTACTTAAAAATGCTTTATCGTGACAAAAAGACTAGTAGAACATTATAATCTCTACTTTCGCTCAATTTCAGCGTTCCGACGCAAAAAATGACGGAGCAATGAATTTTGGAAAAAACGCCAATCTCCGGTTTTTCCTAAATTTCCCAGAACCTAATTTTCCGATTGAAGCGATCGACCTCTGATTTTGTATATTTTTATTCTCTTCAAATCATCTCGTTGGGGCATTCCGATTGCTCCATTAGTTTCAAAGTTATAAGCAAAAAAAATCTAGTTTTTTGCAATAAATTGTTAATACCTAACATACGAACCGGAAATGCGAGCAGCAAACAAATTCCTATTCATCTGCTCGTTACCTTTTATATCATCGCACGATTGGTTTGCTACTAGTCTTTTTGTCACGCAAAAATGCTAAACAGCTCGGCATATAACCATTTTTTGCTATTGCAGCGGACTAACGGCTGATTAGTAGCTATAAAGTAAACAAATCGTCTGAGACGAACGTTCTTCATTTTATTGCTTTCAGTGCATGTCATTAAAATATTTTATTGTTTTGTCCATTTCTTATGGCACACGAACAGTTATATAGACTACACCGATTTAAAAAAAAATAGGATTGTCAAAAACAAGAGATAAAAAAAATCCATGCAGCTTACGAATAAATTGGGACCTTTTAAAAAAGCATTCTTGCAACTGAAAGCACAAAATTAAAAATATATTATCAATGTTTTACCTAATACAGGAAATATTAAACGTTTTGATTTCACAGCCCGTTTGAGAGCAAAGCTTTTGCTTTTTACGAATAAATTTAATTGCCACTGTACCTCTTCTGGAGTTTCATCCTTTTCATAATCGTCAAAATTTCGCGTATCGTCATCACCAAGTAACTCAGGCACAACTGGTGGCGCTGCATCACGTAAATTATCGAACGTCCAACCTTCACTATTGATGAAAAATGGATGATTCTTGATTTCATCCACACTATTTCTACCTAATCGTTTCGTCCTATCACAAAGCAGGCCCTGTATGAGAGACTTGGCCGCATTGGAAATTTCCACTTCATCGGGAAAAATTAGATTGCTTTCATGATACATAATCTTATTGTACGTTCCTAAAAGACTGTCTGCGTAAAACGGGGTTTCTCCAACCAGCATTTCATAGACGAATATTCCTACTGACCACCAATCACACTCCCTTCCATAAATGCCTGCAATAAAAAAATGTTGTATTAACTTCATGAATAGTTAATCTGGTGCCTTCTGCATACCTTTTCCATGGCTTTGTAAAACTTCTGGAGATATATAGTCGGGAGTACCAACCACGTTGTTTGAACGCACCAAACCATCAGAATCCATCCTCATACATGTTCCAAAGTCAGCCAATTTTAAATGACCGTGTTTGTCCAGGAGCATATTGTCAGGTTTAACGTCTCGGTGTACAAAACCCATTGAATGTATAATGTCCAAGGCAAGCACTACCTGTGAATCAGTCATTGTATTTATTAGAGAAACGCTCCTGACGTGGCTTAAGCAACTCAAACTTACCTCCATCGTATAAAACTTTGCCCAAGTTTCCGGAATATCATAGTGAGACATTAAATTAACTATATCGCCACCTGGCATGTAGTCCATGACCATATAAAGATGCTTGGCATCTTGGAATGCAAAATGCAACTGCACAATCCATTCAGATTTTGCATGAGCCATAATGTGTCTCTCTTCCCAGAAAAACGCAGAGTCTGAGCGCTTTATCAGGTCGGCCTTACTTAACCGTTTCATAGCATATACCTATTTGTCAAGAAGAAACGCATTTTTAGGGATATGAAGAATTATGTTAAAATTTGCTTATTTAAATTACCTGTCTAGTATGTTTATGACGGACAAGTTGGACCTTACCAAATGCACCTCTACCAATGACTTTGATATGTTCAAAATCATCAGTTTTCATACGAAGATTAATTATATCACTTGCGAGAGTATCATCTAAAATATCACATTCCAAATTAGGTAATTGCCAATTTTTTTCAGTTTTTTTTAAATTTCAATAGTAGCAAACTCTTTCAACTATTTTTTTTATTTCATTTTACAATATTTTACTAAATAACAAAAAATTCTGTAGTTGAGAGGAGTTTAAAATTAGTTGGGGTTTATTGTCAAATTGGTTTTAATTTTCAAAATCAAAATTGCTTAGAATTCTTGCAAGCAAGTTAGAATTCTAGATAAAACTATTACCAGTTTATAAAAAAATATATGCATATAAAAAAACTCTGATGTAATGGCTTCTACAGTAAAAACAAGACTTCTCTTCGGTAACAAAAAATTGTTAAATGTATCATAAAATCAAGTAAATACATAATACTTAATAAACTTTAATAGACATACACTTTTAAAACTATTTTCAGAACCATTTGGAGACAAAACATGTTTCTGCAATTGGTCCTTGTAACTTGTTTCATTGATTTATCATGTTTTAAAATGATACATGAAAGTGAAAAAAAAAACAGAAAAGTCCGTCAAATTTCTGAGGATTAGTTTTGCCTTTTTTCAAATTGCAGTGAATGTACATTAATTAAATTACATTCAACAGTTTTTGGATCAAGAGGGTTTTCGTAAAAATTCGCCATCGCTGCAACTTTTCGTGTTTTAAGCCTTTAGGAATTTTTTTTGTATCACAAGCAAAGGTATCTAAAGATACAAGCCACTCGTGCTTTCGAACCGACTGGAAGAAATTAATTCCACAACGGCCTAAGCACGAAATATTCACTAATTTCAGGGTTTAAGGTTTTTTTTCGCAAGGTTTACATTTTTAAGTATGCTATTCTAAAATTCGTGGTATTCAGAAATGTTTGGTAACATAAGTACTCTAATGAATTAACTGTCAATCAAGTGTAAGTGGTATTTTATTACTGAAACAGTAAGACGAGTAGCGTTTTTATCTTTGTGTCAATTAGAATCAGATAATCTATGTAAACAGTTGAAATCATGTGGCTAAAAATTAAGCATAAATATATATTTAATTTGCTTCAAATATGGTACAAGAGCCGAATAACACTCAGCGCCATCAATGTAGGTACTTCGTCTTCGACTCACTTTACACTTGAGCCTAAACCCACGTCTTCTTAAAATAGCCATGATTACTTATAAAATAGTATTGACATTGAATATCAATCACTTATATGCTGTTTATTTCTTCTAATGAATCATCTGATAGAAATTGATAAACGAATGAATCAAAACCATAAACAGATTACACTATGTACATCTATCTGAGCCCTCTCATTGGTATGTGCTTGTCACTTTGGTAATAATGTTAACAAAGTAAACTGATTTTTATCTGAATTTATTTATCAAGTTTAACTGAAATGTCCTTGAACACAAGACTAATTCTACTGAGTATTAGATCTTCAGTTATGCCATATAACTAAATGCAGGTTTCTCAAATGACAAAAACAAAGTATGTTAATTTAAAACAAAACTATAAAATATTTGTTTATTTAAAATAAAAACAATTCCTTATTTTGCCTATCATTGTGTTTCAATAATGTTCTAGAATATTTTGGTAAAGATGCTGTTCGGTTGTCTTCTAAAACTTTAATAAACATTCATACGTAAGAAAATGTTTCTAGGATTAAATGTATTTTTAGAGATTTTTCATACAATTCTTCAGATTTCAATCAGGACAATGTAATTTTCTAAACTTAGGTAGAAACCCAAGCGACGGAATTTACGAATTGGCGTGCTCTAAACAGCAATCTTAATCTCCAAAATGGTCAGAAACCCGTAAAAGTTCAGCAAAAATCCGGAAAAAATAATTTACCAGGAGCGACTAAAAAGTAAGCGATTGCACTTATCTGTTAGCCAGAGAACATTTTTTTTAGAGATAAGATAATGTTCGGCGAATTTCAATGGCAAGACTCGCGTTAATATTTTTGCCACTTAAATTCTGCCACGCTTACATTATCTGCTGTTAAAGCAATCTTTAAATTTTATTATAGACAAACCCTATCAGCTATAAACCATAAAAACAAAGTTGCAAGCAACAAAATCACGTGGCAATAATTTTAACTTCTTTTCAAACCCAAATTGGCAGTAACTCCAGAGTGCCAAATATGACATAAACCTATTGGAATTCGAATTCTATGAAAATAAATTAAACGAATTAACAAAATAAATAAGAAAATTGTTGAGACTCATATTCAAAGGCGCGCTTTATTGAATAATGCAACTTATACTTACATCTATTTAGGTACACTTCCACATTTTTAAGTTTTTTAATGGCAGGATGGTCACAGTCGGTGTAGAGAGCTTGGACTGTATCGAGAAGAGAATCAATATTTCCTTTCCCTTGAGGATCTCGAATTTTATTCTTAAGTAAAGTGAGCCTATTCCTTCGATCTTCATCAGGTATTGAATCCATTGTTAGTATTTTTTAGCCTCAAAGCATTTACAAATTAGCTAAAACCTTTAGAAAAAAAAAGGTTATCCAAAATGCAATTTTCGAATCGTTTCTTTGCTCAAAATTGTTGTTCTTTGTTTGATTTTTTTGCCTTTGATTATCTGTTGAACTTGAATAACTTTTTAGTGCTTTCTACTGTTTTTTAGTGTCAGTTTATACAACAATCATTCTGAACAGTTTAAAATAGAATTGAAAATGGTAATGATTTATTTTTGATTAAGCAAATTTTATGATTAATATGGAACTTAGAAATTAGAGGCAGCGTTGGACTCAAATACAAACAGTAACATCATGAATTAAAAAAAATATATATATTTGTACACCATTGTAACTCCATTTAAAAAAAAGTAAAATGAATGTAGCGTAAACGGTGTGGTATTAGAAGTATTTGACATGCCCTAAATTTTAAAATATTGCGTTGGTTATTTACAAGATATGGATATTTCGCGTTTTCCTTTTTAGAACACAGCGAAAGTTTTCTCTTATTCAAAACGTATCAGCAAACAAATGATGCACTCTTAAGATAACATTACTTTTTAACCATTTCCCACAACACAGAAAAAAAATAATCCATCCAACATTGTAACAGGCAATAATATCAATTAATATCATACAGTAACAAATAAGCACATGAAATTGATACTAAAAGGCTTTTAAAAGCATATATTCAAACATTGTCAATTATCTAAAAAACCAATGACCAATATGTATAAACATAAACAGAACTAGGTGACCTTTAAATAATTTTACTTTACATGTAGGTATTTTGGTATTGTTATCTCAATTTGTACTCAGTAAGTAAGTAACTAAATATGTAATTGAATATGAAAATACATAAAGTTGTCGACTGTTCTTAAAACCTTAATTTCACATATCAGCGGTTTGCATCTTTCAGATCAAAAACTAGGTCGTGATAAGACCGGGGAATCCTCCTATATTGTTTTTAGTATTCCCAATGTTATGATGTTTAGTACTGGAAATGATCACGGTTGTAACAAGAATATTGCATATTATTTAACAAATATTTTAAATAATTGTTTTGTGCCTGTTTTCCAATTATTTTTGCAGATAAAACATTTATAAAGAAAATGTGAACTTTTAATCTGAAGCTCTACCACCTAGATTGTCAGTGGTTCACCAACATTTATCCTGGGTTTTAACCATTCACATTCAGTACTGGAAAAAATATACATGTATAAGTGCTTTCATATTTTGCCATTTGCGACTTTCGACGAAACGCAAAGGTAGTTAATCAAGGCAAATAGAAACAACATAAAAATGGGTAAAGGTTACACCTGGATCTGTGTGAAGAAGCGCTTCTTTGTTATAAACAAGCACATGAAATAATTACCTTTTCATCTCAGATCAAGCTGAAATAAACATAAAGTCCTATATTTAATTTAAAGGGGTATAACTGCAAACATATATTATGTCCAAGGTTTTCGCGTTCCCGACACAAACATATTCTGTAAAAAATAATCTAAACGACAGCCATTTTCACTTATTAATCATTGCAACCGTCAAAGTAAATGTCAAATAAACCGACATGATTAATTTTCCGGAGTAGATTAAATGGAATTAATTGTTAGAACTACTACCTACCTCCCAGCCGCCTTCAAACCATTCTTCAGACAGAGACAGGCATATATCTTGCCTCTGCTTCAGAGTTCAGAGTAGCAAATACTACTGTGTAACCGACAAATGGCTGAGGTTTTATTTATTTATTTGATTGTATACAAAGCATAATATATATTAATTAATTATCTTATATAACTACATACATATATCAATTATCACAATTTAGAGGACGGCTCAACTTTAAAATTGATGAGTTCAATTGAATAAAAAGATAATATTTAAAATTAATTTAATAGTTTTATTGTGAACTTGAACATGTCTTATATTTGAATTCGTATATTTGTGAATGTCATATCAATATTTGAATTCATTATAATTTTAAAAACTTAGGTTTAGAAAATAATAATTTCGAGACGATGTTCTATTGATTTTTTACATGTCAAAACCACATCCTGCTTTTTATTACGTTTGCATTATCTGTAAAGAGTTCTTCTACGCGCAAAAGCACGGGGCTACAGTACGTCATACGCTTTGCGAGCAGTGTCGCTTAACTTATCCTCTCTAGTAGATAGCCTTGGAGTAGTTCTAATAACTATAAACAATTCCGTTTTGACAAAAGTCATTTGACATTCAGTTTTCAACACTTTAGTGTATGACTGCGACGTCATATTTGTGTTTATAAAACTAATTTTATGCAATAGGAAATAGGAAATCCTATTAAACTGCATATTGTGCATAGTTCTAACAGCTCAATATAAATTTGTAGAGGTTTGTATCCAAGAAATAGCAGTTTTAAAGAGTGACACGTTACCATTTAAAATATTCCCACAGAATTTTTTTAATATTTTTTATTTTGCATTGACATCATATTTACTACTATAGTTTTAGAGTAAATGATTGAAATAGCCCGTATTGAATGATTACTGTTTTAACAACAACTCGGTTAACATGGTCTATTTCAAATACAAAATAGAACACTCAAAATTGTACAATATTTCAACAACTGTGTCTAAAAGCATAGTTATAAACATTTGTCTGACAAAGCTTATAAATCAAAAACCAATAATAATATAAGTAAATCACCCTATTACCAATCCAAATGAAAAGACCTCAAACTTTGCTAGAGGTGCAGCGAACTTAAACTTTCAATTGTCCAATGGCTCAAGAACTAATGCCTGTAGAGATACTTTTCTTTCATAAAAAATATATATGTATAGTAGGATTTGTATATGTCTGACGCCTTCTTTAAGGATGTATCTAGTAAATGTTACCGGCCTTTCTTTTGTCGCCCCAACAAAACATATCTGTTTCTTATTCTTGACTTCTGGATTAAACAAATTCATTAAAATCATCATGCTTTCATCCTACGAATCCATTTTGTAGATACTTTGTATAGGGCAAACATTGTTTATTTGAATAATCACTAATACACACCTTCACTCACCATTTAATCCGCAGCAAAATTGTGTATTTTTCTAAATGTTCTTTGTAGATGAGTGGTCCCAACCCTCCTTGTGACTGGCAAATTAGCCGGAAACTGGTAAAAGAAAGGGGTCAGTACTTGCTTGAGACTGGAATATGGAGTGATTGTCGGTTTATTGTTGGTTCCGAACCCAATCAGCAAGTTTTAGAGGGCCACAAATTGTTCCTCGCAATGTCCAGTCCAGTATTCGAGGCAATGTTTTTTGGGGGCATGGCCGAGAAAGATCCAATTGCTATTTTAGACGTGCAGCCCGATGCTTTCAAAGCTCTTCTTGAGTGAGAATTTTTTTAAATTTATTTTCCTGACTGCGTGTAATTGTTATTATATTCTTTTCCTTCCTGGGTTTCAGTCAAAGTGTGAAATATTTTTTTTATATCGTTTGTTTTGTAACGTTTCAGCGAGACAACAGCGCCACCATCAGATTTAAAATTCATACAAACTAAAAACACCAATTTACAATTAAAATATATGTTGTGCAAAAAGTAATGTATAGAGCGTTAAAACATTAGTTCTTGAGAAAACACTCAGGAGGTAAGTTTTTCAGATGTTTTAACGCTTTATAAATTAGTTACTTTTTGTACAACATATTATTATTATTATTATTATATATATTATTATATAATAATTTTAATTGTAAATCGGTGTTTTTAGTTTGTATGAATTTTAAGTCTGATGATGGCGCGGTTGTCGCGCCGAAACGTTATGAAATAAACGATACTAAAATTTTTATTTCCCACTTTGACTGAAAGCCTGGAAAGAAAATTGATTGGATTATTTCGCCATATAAGTTTCATTACTTACGTGCAATTGCTTAAGTAAGAGCGAATTGTTAAAATTGCGATGAATCGGCCCTTTGTATACAATTTATTTTTGATTGAAAACATACTAAAATACAAACTTAGTACAAATAGAAAATTAATTATTTTGCTATTTAATGGGCTTTCAAATCTGATCAAATTAACCTCATGCGAAAACGCTATGTGATTGGTCTGACGTCACGTTACAAGTCGACTGCACGTGGGCCGTGCGGTCATTTAAATCGTATGAACTTAGGATGAAAACATACATGGAATTTTGCTGCACATTTTAATTTAAAAAATGTATCGGTCCCCTTGTATCATCGGACCGATAGGTTACAGAAATATATATTAAAAAGTTATTTTATTTGATTCATTTGTTCGTTGTTTTACCAAGTAAATTTGTATTTTCTTAGATATATTTACACGGACAAAATTAATTTGACATCATTTGACCAAGCTTGCGAATTATGTTATGGGGCTAAGAAGTACATGCTGCCACACCTTTTAAAAGAATGTACAACGTATTTATGGTCGGATCTGTACCCAAAAAATGCTTGTAGAGCTTACGAATTTGCTAAATTGTTTGAAGAACCGCAATTGCTGACCAAATGCATTCGGGTAAGAACTTTAGTTTAATTTTATAATAATTATTTTTTTATTTATGTTTTTTAATTTTGTAGATTATACGTGATCAAACTGAGGAAGTATTGGCCGAAACAAGTTTTGAAGACGTGGAACTCAGCACAATTCTAACAATTCTTGATCAGGATGTGCTAAATGTCAAGTCTGAACTGGATCTGTTTACAGCGGTTTGCAAATACGCTGCAAAACATAATCAAACATCAGGTGCGAAAGTACCTAGACTAGATGATGGGTTAGGTAATTTCATTACAATCCATGTTAATCACATTTTTAATTAGGAATTAGTTTTTAGTTATAAAATTTAATATTGAAATTGTTTTCTTCTTGTAGGAGGTGCATCAGGAGAAAGAAGTAATTCTAATCAACCAACAATTCGTACCGCTATTAAAAAAATTCGATTTTTAACACTTACACCACAACAGTTTGCTGAAGGCCCTGGAAAATCCTCGTTACTAAGCGAACCTGATAAGTTCGCCATTTTAATGAATATTTGTTCACCGAGTGCTGGAACAAGTATGCCCGAAGGTTTTTGTACACTGACGGAGCGCCGATCGAAGCCACATAAATTGTATGTAAGTATTATTTTTTATTAATTTGATCTGCTGTCTATTACCTAACTTGTGGTCATTCGTAAACCTGGATCTAATACTTAAAAAATTCTGCCCAAAATTACTTTCAGCTGCGAAAGATAATTGATTATCGATGATGCGTCTTATGTACGGGCGGCTCACTTCATCAAGAACCATTAAAATATTTCGTAAATGATAGCAAATACAAGAAAATGTGTTCTACAAATTTTGCTTGTGTCGTTTGACTCACTCTGAATTTTTAGTTTTTCCTTTTTTTACCTTAAAAAACACTTCAAATTAAGCACTTTTGGCCAAAGCCAAAAACACTAATTTATTTATTGCTATTATTATTTGCTGCTAAATCGTGTTTTAGGTATAAACAATACAATAAAATTCTGCATGCAAATTTGCAAAATTGTTGCTAAGATGCATAATAATTGTGCTTTTCGCAAAAGTTTGAGCATCTTTTCTAACGTCGTCAAGTGATTGAAGTTATCAAGCGCGTCGATAGTCAAGTCATATGTCTTATTTTCATGCGTCTACGTGAGCACTCCCGGGTAATTTGTGTATTGCCTAAAATCGATGAGAGCAAATTCACCTGGTCTACACCAGGCGAGTGACAATTCACATGTATGAGAATCTTATTATCATAAGCGAACACAGAACTGACAAGAGTTTGGTAATCTATGATACAAAAATGGAATATCGAATTTGCTTATCATCGATTTTAGGCAATCGGAAATAGACAAATTCCCCGGGAATGCTCACGTAGACGCGTGAAAATAAAGAGTTATCTGTTTCTTTACTGGCGGCTAAACGTAGGGATACGATCCTTTTAATGTGCATGCGCTAACTGCAGGTTATTAGCTATTGATCAACTGGGTGGTTGAGAGTGGAGTGGCCTATCTATATCACTCTTAATTGATGGGGTTGATATTCTGCCGTATATATTACTCTTATGGGCCTATTAACCTTCCAAAATTGGTGCATGTTGTTTCTTCTGCAATTCTGCATTCACAGCATATGGAGTGCAAAGGCAACATCAAATCCAACGTGCCTATTGAATATACGAGTAGTACTTTCATATTATTAATAAATTTTAATATACTGATGGCTTGTGCCTGGATTTCGATTGATTAAAAAGAGTAGATTTCTTAGCATCTTTAATACATCCATTCACCATTGACTGTTCACGTACACGTTTCTGTTGGATTTTTTTTTAAGTGCATTTAAACTAATCTCGTATGCATATTCAATAACCACTTAACCGTCCGAACTGGGAGCCTGACGGCGATTGCAGTTATAATTGTTTTGATGTCAAAAACTTATAGCTTACAGTCCGCGCATGCGCATTAAAAGTATCGTAATCCTACGTTTAAAGCCCGTGTCCCCTGCATCAGTTTGTACGATGGTACGAAAGTATTTCTATTGGTTTGAGATCTGTCAATTCGTCCGTCGTCGTATCAAGTTAAAAAATGTTTAACGTTATACGATGGTCGTATGGTTTTTAACCTCACATTCATTGTTTACATATTAGATTTTATGTTTAAGTTTTAATAATGAAAACTACACTTAAACTACAAAATAGGATTAACAAAGTGCTTCTGTTTTCATTATTATGGATTAGGCACAATAGGAGCAGTTAAAATACGTACCCGTACGTATGTAAATAATCCAATATTTCATACATAAGTGTTTTTTAATTGTTTTGGACCGATCCCTGAGTGGTATCCGAGAATCTCACAACCGTAGTCTTGTCCGTTATACCGTTTATCAGGAGATTTTTCACTGATATTGAAGGTACTCTCTAAATATATCTATGTTCCTCCTCAATTTTACTTCCATCTGCTTGGATATCTATTGATTGAATTTAATCAACTTATTCCCGAAACCTTATTTAGATATGAATGCCGGAACATTGACGAAAATTAATTTCGTAATAAAATTCAAAACGCACTTAAATTCCACTGAAAATCGTAAAAAGTCGATGCATATTGTGCTTCGTCTACGTTTTAATTATTATTTGTATTAAGTTATATCTACGATTTAATACTTGAGTTAAAATTAGGCGTTAAACGATTTTGATATTACATATAACTAACCAATAGATAAATTATATTTAATATAATTAATTATTCTTAAAAATTCTTTAGAACGTCAATTCGTAATTTGGTTTTATTACATGTACGACCTGACATTTTCATAAAAAAACTGATTTTATTGCTGCTTATTTTTCAGCCGTAGAACTGAACTCGATGTTGTAGTGCGGTATGGTAACGATAAAATTGTGAATCCGGCAAGCATGGTTATCGTTCACAATCCAAGGTTATCGTATACATGGGACAGCTAGAAATCGGGATCGTACCAACGTTTAAAATCTCTCACCAATAGAAACACTTTTGTATCATCGTATAAACGGATGCATGGGACACGGGTCTTTATGCCGTTAGCCGCGTAAAATTCGGAGGGATTCAAAGGATATTTTTTGCTTTGAAATCCGATGCAGCATTTAATTTTCAACCAAAAAGTATGAACATTATATAAAATTAACAGAATTTGAAATATTTATAATTCACCTTGAGACTACGCCACTTAGTACCAAACGCATATTTTCTGTATATATTATTTTTCCACTTTTTAGGGGATATGTATGCTATCCAGCAACCAAACTTACCACCTTAATACTTTTTCATTTTTAATTAAATGCTGAATCGTATTTCATAGTAAAAAAATACAAATACATACATTTTAAAAAGTAAAGTTTTTTTCCAGCAGACTTTAACAGAGCAATCTGTGCATCTAACAGATGATATCACCTTCGGGTTTCCCCCTAGCAATTATTTGCTATAATTTACGAGATATTTCACCTTTTGACCGTTTCTTCCAAAATGAGCCACTCGGTATAGTGCGATTTATAGTGTCCATAACAGCCATTTGCGGTGCCATTACTACAATGACAATTTGAAACTCAGATTGTTTTGTCGGTTTTTATTTGTCTCATAAAAAGTGGCGCTGATTTAAACGAGAATGAAAGCAAAAAATATATATCTACTATTGAGTAAAATTTAATTTTTTGTTTGGGCTATTGGGCTTTGGGTACTCCGTTGTATAAGATTCGGGATTCAAGAATAGAAAAACTGGTCTAAAATGTTTATAGAATGTTTTACATTCAAAGTGTTCTGGTAGGTAGGTGCTTTCCTTTTTCCTATCCTATTTGCTTATGCTAATATCCTATTAATGTCTAGTTAATTTTCATCGAGCAATCATTAGGTTTATATCCCACTGTTCCTAGAGTACATACTTTTAGTCATTAGCTCTTAGAGATGCACTTTCGACTTTGTTAGTAATCAATGTTTTAGTAGTTCAGGGGTGATTTGGTAAGCTATTGGAACAGCAAGACATTTGAAGACAGAAAATTGTCAATTTTATGGTAATTTTTAATGAAAAACAGTAACAGCGAACATTTTTAATGTACATATGCTCTTGAAAACTTAAAAATAAAAAAAACGTGAAGTTTACCTGTCTAAACAGGTCAAATCTTAGAGAAAATAGACACGCGGAGCCATTGTGCTATTTTATCTATTCACACTATTCTGAGAATGTGAAAGTTGATGAAGGAAGTTGAAGTGGTCACAATTGCCGAAGTCATACGAAAGAAAGTACTCGATTAAAATCGTATCAAATTTGAAAAAAAACAATCACTAAGTCGAAGAGCTATAAACCATCGAGAGGATTTGCACATATTTTTCTTGATCTCAAACTTTTTGAGGAAGTCTATATGAAGTAATAACAACATTTAATGACATGAATGTACAGCTACGCACCATGTTTGCAGACTTCATATGTGTGTTACTCTTTATAGATCTTATTTAAAACAAATTTGTACAAAGGGTTGCAAATGATATATTGTTTCTCCTAAAAAACAATAAGATAAGTATATACAAAAGTAAGTAATAAGATAATAAAGAAGTTTGATATTATGAAAAATTATTACTAACATCAGAAAGTAATAAGAAATTTATCAAAGTTGAAGTGTATACTGTCTTTTATCATGGGAAAAACAGTACCAGATATATTTTTATTAGAAAGAAAAATAATTTTTTGATGATCGTTAATTACAACTTTTGATGTAAAACATTCGAAAAATTAATACCCTTATAGGGCTGAACATCCACCCAGTATGTTGCTTGGTTCACTCTTTATATGTTGTGTTGTTTTTAATCTTTCTTCAGTTTCACTCCATTGTAAACTTTAATTTTTCGTTTTTCAAATTAAGCTCTACTTTCGGCTTCCAAGTAACCGTGTTAATTGTCTTGCTACTAACTATCTTTGCTCATAATGTGGCGCCACTTGAGTTCGCACCAAACGTTTGTACTGAATTTACCAAATGTATAGATCCAACTCGAAACAAACTAATAATGTAAAAAAAACATGTAGTCTTCTAATAGTTGTCATCAATTGACGAGAAAAAAATGAATCATGTTAGAAAAAAACTCTAGGTATTCAAAAATATGTCTGTTCAAATCTCTCAAATTTTATTTAAAATTCAGACAACCGTTATAAATGTATTATATTATATAATGTTGGGAATGAACGCAGGATATTTTAACTTTTAGAACCATCATTGACTTGAAAGTCTGTGCGTGTCCGTATTCATAATTAGGCGAACTATTTATTCAATAACGACTACTGAAAATTCAACTATCCAAACCCCGCTATTAAATTTTCTGTTATTACTAACGATTACAGTTTGCCAACGTTTTAAATTTTAACATGGACCATTTTTCTGAATGTAATTTTACGTTAGAACAATTAATGTGGGGCTTCGAAATTCTTTCACATGAGATTCAGTTATAGTTAATTCAGTTTTTTTGATAGTTAATTCAATAATCGAATTAATAGCAATGCGATAAAATCGGTACTTTTACTGCTACTCCTGAGCTGATAATTCACGAATTTATTATGGAAGCTTTTTATATATCTTAGTTTTATTATTTAGTTAGCTAAAAGGCCATATTAATTGTCTTTTAGAACATTATTTCTGTTCAAATCAGAGAGTGATACAATACAAATATAAATTAGAAAAATAATTGTTATCAACACCAATGTGAAAGCACTTTGTATCGGGAAAGTATTTAGATAAATAAAGACGGTAAACGAAAGTATTTATATAGAGACGATAAACGTTTTCCTTTAATGCCGGGTTTATGCTCCGAAAATGAAGAATTATGCATAAAGCTTAAGATAATTGTTAAACTAACAGTAAGCAAATAACGTACGCAAACAAATCTCGAAAAAGGATTAATTTATTCAAAAGAAATAGAAGCGATTTCAACGAACAAGCAAAAAGTTCTGGTACTTTACTTCTTCTTGAGTAAAATACTCAAGAATATACCACTTACTTCAAGGGGAATGATCGTAGTAGCTTCAAAAATATATGTAGGAACCACTCCACATCAAGGGTCATTAAATTCGCTGTTATCATTCTCTCGGTATTATAATAAAGATCGTTTATGTGATGAACTTTCACCATCAACCACATCTTTCACCATGATTTTTTCCTTAATTAAAGTTTTCCATGGTATTCAAGTCCGTATTGACTATTTCTACATTTTCGCTAAATTGAAATATCGGATTTTTTGTTGTGTATCAGTTGATATTTTATTTAGAACCAACTTGAGGCCAATATTTTGCCTTCAGTTGATGCATTCAAATTAAACTAGTTATTCCAAAAAAAACGTTCCGCTGTTCTATCACTATTTGTTATGCATGGCTTTAATTTCGAAACGAACTAGTTGAAATGACTTCCAAATTGGAAGAATAAAAAATACAAAGAATCAATAGGGACCTTCTATTACATCGTTAATTTATTTCTAATAGTACTACCATCACTTGGAAATTTCAAATTTTTATCCCATCGACTGTCATATTTTGCTAGAGAGCATGAAATACTTTTTCCAAAGTTGTAGGAAAAAGCAAAATCGGATTCTAGATTTACGTTGATTAATCGCCGAAATGTCTTATAATTTATGGGTTCGATGTTTATAATTAATTGTATGAATTGTTTAAAATGTCTACAGTTATTCGTTAGACAGTAGAAAAGTCTGTCTTGAAATTATTCACGAACATCGTCCAAAACGTGAGGAAAAACTCGTCTGCATTCTTGCGATATTCGATCCTTCAGGTGTTGCACTGAGATGATATGAGATGAAGTTTTACAAAAAACAGTTCTCATTTGACTCACAGCGAACAAATCCAGAGGATCCAGTCTGGGCTGCAGTCCTGCGGGGCATTCTATTGTACGCCTTAATATTTTAACCACTCTCTAACTGGAAAATCACAATGAGGCGGAGCTTCGTATTGCAAAAGCATGCATGTTTTAGCTCCTTTCAGTCCGATGTTTTAATAAATACATCAGAGTCCGATTAAACAGCAAAGTTATACGTTTTTCTTCTATTTCAGTCAACATGTTAATGTGTTTATTGATATGTTTTATTATTTGCTGTAATAATAACAGGACAATAAGCCATCTTTGATAATACCTACCAAACCACCATAAGTGTAAAATGTAATTTAATAAAAGCGAAAATCTGCTGGCGTGTAGCCTGAGTTCGAGCTCCGCTGGTGCCCTAAAAATAGGTAACACACCGCGTTGAGCTGGCACATACACCGAGCTGACCATGCTATTAATAAAAGCACAAATGTAGGAATTTTTTGAATATTTTTTGTGTTTAATTATCGACGATTGCAGTAAACTAGTTCTCACAAAACATAATTTATGAGTTGCATGTGTTTCGCCTTAAAGCCAAGATCAGTTACCGCATAATGTATATTATTAATACTTAATTAATCTAAGTGGTTATTAATGGCATGTGCTAGTGGAATGTGGGGTCGGAATTCCTTGCGAAAGATCCTGAATTCGTCTTGGACACGCTCAAACTTTCTTGTCAATAAAAAATTTTCTAATTTTATTATCGGTTATAGCTAAATTTTTTATATTTTAGTGTATTGTGCCCGACTAACTGGAAATCATCCTATGCTGGTCTTGTTTGCGTGGAAATGTAGTAGATAGATAGTGTTCAGTTTTTTGCCGAATTGTTATAATTGAACAGTAAATTAGCCTTAGGTAGAATAAGGTTTGCTATGTTTTTTGCGTGTGATCGGTGCTTGCTTCTTTGGCTATTTCCGGTGTTAAATTAAGGCGAAACACTTGTGACTATAAACCATGTTATATGAATATGTGACTTTCAATTTATTTCTCCTTTTTAATAAGGAATCATGCATGTCGCAATTTATTCCACAAAGTTGCTATGTCTTCCAGCCTGTTTATTACAGTTTTTTTTTAAATCAGAAAACACCTAACTATTTCTAAAACAAGTGGTTCTACGAAAAAATATATCTAACTTAAATATGCAATACTTTTATTGTGCATCTTTATTATGTATAAAAATTCTGTTTAAAAGCAAAAGAATTATAAAACTTAATAATTAAGTACTTTGACATTTGAAACGCGTTAAATACAAATAAAAATTCTACGATAATACTAACGAATAATACTGGAAACTTTATTCATGATTAAAATTAAAGATATCAGATTTCCCTCCCGTAAGTACAACTTTTTCCTGAATAAAAAATAGATGTTATTGAAATTTCCAATTTCAATACATTTACAATCTGTTCTGACTTACTTAATACTGATGTTGATGTTTGTTGAAATATTTTTACTCTTTATTAATTAAAAAAAAAATGTTCGTTTTTAGTTTCTTTTCTGTATTACTTATAGGGCTTGGGACTTTTACGGAGGTTTACATTTTAACTTACATCATTTCATATATGCTACCTAAACCGAAATATGAAGACATATTAGATAGAACGTCTTGATTAAAATGTTGTCCGCGGTAATGAACAATAGCAACTGGCAAAAATGTATGATCGTCGTATTTGACAATGACCGTTTGAGGAACGTTTTTTGAGGTGTAGCACATTGTCTTCGGAATGGTCATTGCCTGGTTGCCTATCTCGAATGTACGTCCTACAAGTACCTTTGCTATTATCATTACTTTGTCTTGTCTCTTTTTGTTGTCATGGTGGTAGTGCGTGGCGTAGAAGGGATTTGAGGCGAATGAAATTCCACAGCCGAACTTGTGCGTTCTTATCTGAAACCAGAATTGATTCACAATTAAATAATGTTTGTAGCAGTTTAAATGGGATATTGAACTTTTTCTTTTTATCCCGGAATTTACAGGTTGATTCAAAATTGGAGTCAGTCAATACTGCGGATGTTTTATCTGGGATATGTACAGCGTACAAAATAATCTCAGAAAAACGGGAATATTCGCAAAAGCAAAAGATAACAAGTGAATTTAAAACACAAATAGAAAAAAATCGGGTCATTTTGCAACTGGAAATTAAGTTGTCCATTGAGCCTCCTAAATTATCCAATTTGACACAGAATTGCTTAACATTCGCTTATAACAATGTTTGGATCTTATATCGCCGCTTAATGTTAAATGGGAATTTTTTGGTTGAACAGTTAATAGCCTGATAGACAAGTAGCTCTTCTTCAAACTGATACCTGATGCGCAGTTTCTTTTTCTTTGACTTCCGCAATTAGATGTTCCCATGCCGCCCTCTCGCTTTAAACCCTGGATTCTTGCTGAAAAGAATGGACATATTTAGACTCTCCAAAAGATGGCAAAATATATGCACATTCGACATTGTTGTTAATTTTTAGTTTTGAAGAGCATAATGAAAAGCTACCCACAAATATGCTTTTGCAATGCGTTTCTTAGCAAATACATGCCGGGATGCATGCTAATACTTTACCAAATGATCATTTACAATACTTTACAATACTGCTTAACATTAAAGTTGAGGCGCAATAAAAAAAAAATTCTCGTACTCTTTAAGTAAGATTCAGCACCGCCATAAAAGCAAAGACACCAATTTTAAATCACGCGGTTTAAAAAATGAAAATTAATTTAATTAATAAAGTTTGACGAAAACTTTTGAGGGGCATGTTGAATAAAAAAACATAAACGCTAACTGGATACATACCTTAGATCTGTCGAAGTTGAAAGTGCAAATTCCGTCTAAAAAATCTTGTTTTGTTCCGTGAAACATCAAAGTTTCGTCATATCCCTCCTTATAAACTGTATCATACTTTTCTTTTGCTAGTCGGTAATGCAGGGAATTAAATATATTATGCACTGAATTAATTTTGGCGATTGAAAAGCCCGAATTGTTCGATCTAAATAATGAAGCGTTTGTAGCAAATTCACCAGATGTTTTGGACAGTTCTTTTTCCAGGTACGGTTTTACTGGAAATGTGTGTATAGGTTGTTCGCCCAATGATAATGCTAATTCATTTAAAAAGTTTAGATTCTTTGTCACTTCCATCTGGATCAGTTTTGAGATGGAGTCTAACTCCTTTTCTTCTGATCTAATGGAAAATTCTCGATTTTTTAACAATAGAGAGTTAGCGTGTAGCACACAATCCCGACTACCGATATTCGTCAACTGAACTCAACTGAACAATTTCGTAAGTTGCTGAAATTGCACTTATCTTATCGCTTCTTTTTCTATCTATACAGGGTGACCAGACTGAGAAATGTACTTAAAAATCGCCAGTTCTGGCGCCAAGTAAATTCAAACGGGGTAAACCAATAAAAACAAAGTGGAACGGTTTAAATTAAATAAAAACTTATTTTTTTCTAAGAAGTTGAATTTAAATTATATATGTAGACTTGTGTGGCTAGCATATATAAATGAGGCAAATAAACAATTTTTAAAAATCTAGTAAGTCACTTGTACTAATGCAGGGAACGTGAAATTCTCGAAGTAGGTCTAACTACTTGCTCTAAGTCAATCGCTTTGACTTTACTATCAGAATTTCGTTCTTGATACATTACGTTCGATGTAATATCTTTAATCATATCAGTTGTAGGATTAAAATTCTAACATCATATATTATCTGCATTGAAATGCATCGTTATCCTTAAATACGAATTTAAAGAATTTGTCTTTATTTTTATAAACATATCTTTTGGCGGGTATATCTCTCGATTATTCGATTATCTAAAATCATATATTGTGTCGCTTCCCCTAAGGGTTTAATATGCTAAGGCTTATGATTTAAGCTTCAGCTTCAGATATAAGCGTTTAGATATTTAAGCTTATACTGCTATTTTTTATCAGGCTAATAAAAAGCTGAAAAATTACCAAACCAAGGGAAATCGCCAAAAAAATCTCCAATCGCCAATTCAAAAAAACATTGTCGCCAACATCGGCACACCTGGTCACCCTGTATTTAAGCTTATACTACTATTTTTATATTATTTATAACCGAACGAACTGAATTTCGCTGTAATTGCACTAATTTTAATCTTGCGATTAATATTAAAAGCTTTTTAAAGCAGGGTCCACACTGGATATATAACGCTTTATAGCCAAGTTATACAGCATGTTAGAGATTTTATAATGAAATAAAGCAAATTTTCCTGCTAGTTATCTTGCTACATGCTATCCATCTTTGGTCGATAAAGATCAAAGAAAAATCGTACAACAATGTGATACTAACATGTAGCAACGTCCAGATTTGCAATATGCGGTTTTTATTGTAAGTAAACATCAGTGGCGGTCGTGCAGTTTTCCTTATTTTCTGTACAAGAAGTAGTTGGAAAATGATCAGTGGAATAAAGAAAATGTTTTGAAACTAATGGAATTATACAGAGAACGTGAAAAATGAACGGACACCCCAGTCGTCCATTGTTTAAATTAAAACTTCAGGCACAATTAGGAAAATTAATTGTTTAGAAATTTTAAACAGGTACATTAAACTTTGATACGAGTCTCAGATAGCCACTGCCACTCGAATAATTCGAGTATTCGAATATTCAAAAAGCGAATAATTATGTCTAGTCATAACTCGAATATACGAATAATCGAGTACTCGAATACACCAACATTATCAAACTCACAAGGTGCAAATATCTTTATATGCACTTTGTATACTTTTATAAAATACATTATTCATATTCTACAAGCATTTCCTTATTTTGTAAGAAATGTGTTCGTTCAATGATTTATTTTATGTATTCGCATAAAATGGAGGCATCAAGAAATTCGATGTTTAACACATGATATGATACCATTTGAAACTGTAGAGGGGGTGGCTGTGAAAAATCCTGTATATTTACATGGTTTTTGATCATCATATTGAAATCATGTTCTTAGAATTTCTTCACTAGTTGAATACTCGAATATTCGTTAGATATTGGCGAATTCGAATGATTTTACGTGCGTCCTCACCTTGTACTTCAAACAACCTAATTCTCATAAGATCTATTTCCAAAAGGTTTCGATAGCCGACGCTTTACTGATATTATTGTTTCCACAATCCGAATTATAGACATTGAGATCACGGAAAACATTTACTTTTGCAATACGTTAAGTCTGTTTCATTAATTTTGCATGTGATGGTTCTTAAAGTTTCGTTTCAGTTTATATTACATATCCCACGTTCTTATTTTGCTCTAAAGAGCAACGATAATAAGTTCAACTCTTATAACTCAATTTTCTTCGCTTCTTGAGTGCTGTAAAATCGTAAAACTACGGCTAACTCGACTCGGGACTTTTGGAATATAAGCACCGACCATCGTAAGAACCGTCGATTCTAAGCAGAAAAAAGTTTTTCATTCGAAATTTCTCGTTGCCAATTTTATTACATAATTTAGAGTTAGCAAGTAGGAAGCAAGGCGGAGCAGGCAGCTGCTGTCCGGTTGCAAGAACTAATTTTGCCGGCTCCACTGCTTTTGAGATTTCATAAATGAAAGTGTTGTAGCACAATTTCATTATACTTTGGAATGTCTTTCAAAAATTTGAAAAAGTAATAAAACAAAAATATTTTTTAAAGTGCAATTAGGTATAAATAATTATTGATTGGCAAATGCATAGAAAGAAGAACTTAATTAACACAAATTTGCTACATATACTTAATGCAGTTCAAGAAAACAAATAATAGCAGAGGTAAACGGTTTTAAAAAATTAAATTAAACTAAATATCGACTTATCTTGCCTGATTAACTGGAGGTTAGTCAACTAAATCGGTTTCTTGTAAATAAAAAAATAGGTATATTCGAAAGCATCAGTTGGCACCGTAGATTTTAAGTAGGTTTTAGTAAGTTTCGTCAAGGCAACTAAGAGTGACAGAATTTAAAATTAGATGCAACAAAATAGCCATATGAAAACATTAAATTGACAATATTTCGAAAACTAAACACTTTTGGAATCGACAACCTTCCACAAACTTACCCTTATTTTTAATTCTGAATAAGATAAAATTACGAAAAATGGCGGTTTCCATTTTGAAAAAATGTTGAAAATTGAAAAAAAAACAATTTTCTTCAATCGAATATGAACATTTGCCCCCTGCAAGTTATTGTCTGTTAAGAATGTTTGGGCGAAATTCCATTAAAGTAATTCTTTTTCAACAAGCAATGCGACTCAAATTAGGTAGCACATACTTCCTTATAGGAAAAGTCAATAATTATTCGAGTGGCTGCATTTTTTACATAAAATTTCAAATATGTTAAAAACGGTTAGACTTAGGAATAGGATATTATACATGAAATATATTGAGAATTTGTAGTAGAATTTAAAAATTTAATAATATATAGGGTGTTCTTTTTAAAATAAGCAAGTTGATACCTACTTCCGGTATAACCGGAAGTGTGGCCATCTCGAAGATATTTTAGATCCCTTGCCCCGAATGACTTCAGCACACCGTCCAATTTTCAAAATTCTCCTAATTATAGTTTGCCAGATATCGAACGGCTACATCGATTGTATTACCAAATATTATAAATGTTCAATTTTCGTGACTTCATGAAGCACGTCTGCAAAACCAATTTCATATACATTCTTTCTTAACAATAGTTTAACTCTTTTGAAAATTTGCACAGCTATTGACAAAACAACATTAATTTTTGGGTTTTTTTCGGTAATTACATTATTTTTGATGCTCGATTGTACCAGTCAACTAATGAACATATAAATTAAAAATAGGTATTTTATTAAATTAGGTATTTAGAATCAAGGAAATATTGTTTGTCATTCCTGGACTGATCACTATAGATTGCAATTAGACGATCAAACCGGTCTTCTAATTCAGGTCTAAGAATTTTCTTCCATAATGCTTAAAAATTGCTATGTCAAGGGAGCTTTTTGTAGCATCATTTCATGAAATCAGTTTGATCCAAATTAAAACAAATATCATTCGAAAATGAAGAAAGTATATTCGAAAGCACCAATTTATATCGCTCATAGAGCTTAAGTAAGCTTGAATACATTTTAATAGCGAAAATTATAGCTCAACACCAACTACAGTGGATGAGGAAAGGGCAGATAAATGAGGAAATATGCATTTTAAATCTTGAATAGCATATTAATTATCCTTTTTAATAACATAAATTGACGATCTCTCAATTTCATTTCAATTTCAAAAGCCGACAGATTAGCTATATTTTTAGAAACCTTGAAATCCTTCATCTAGTTCTGAAGTTGCAATATTGAGAATGTAAAAATTAAACGTAATTTTGAAATTTTGCTCTAGATAGATCTAGATTCCATGCGTTGATCTTTATAAAAAAAAAACGTTTCTTGATGTCGGAGTCTAATACTTCGACAATTTTCGTCGCTTTATTAAGCACGCCTGCAAACCGATTTTCAGGTAGGTAGGTATGTATAATGTCGGCTAAAACTAGTTTTTATTTCGTTGGACCTTCGCACAGCTTCTGGCACACCAATATTAAGTAGTTTTTTAGATTATTTGAGTCACTACATTTATTTTTGATAAAATATTTATGCAGATAAATTTAAGATATTTTATTTGATTAATTGGAGGCAATGAAATATTTTTTGTGTATTGGCACACAAAAATTATTGAAAAAGTAAAACAGCAAGAACTCTTGAGATAGATATAACAAAATGGCAAAGGTAGACAATATGAACCAGTTTATAATAAAAACATTATTAATTCAAAATATAACATAGAAAAAAGCAATTGAGTTTAACGCAAATCTGTAGTGATTTTGAGCAAGAAAGGGTTCTAAATGGGTAAAAAACAGTTGAATATAAAAGAAACAAAACCTTGATAGTGAAGAAGTTTTTATTTCGTAAGCGATTTGAAAAACGCTCATTTGTTCAGCGCAATATGATCCACAAATTATCAAATCGTTCGAGAAAATAGCCTTATAAAATATCACAAAGCAAACGTACGTAACTCACGATTATGAGAAGAAAAATTTCCAAAGACTGCTGCCTCGAATCGAAGAAGATCAAACTAGACGAACTGAAGGAAAAATCTCCGGATAATAGATCTTTGTGCTTAATAATTATACTTCCAAAAATTTGACAAAATAGGAGACAATAAACTTTTGCGATATCGCAGGACATGACAAAATTGGAGAATGATCTAATCTTAACTTATAAAAAATTAAGCAAAGAAAAAATTATTAAAAAAATCGAATAGAAACCATTCAGATTGTTGCAAATCAGTTGGAATTTTGACATAGCCCTGAACGTGGTAAGAAATGTCTTCTAAATGGGAAAAATACAATTTAATATGAAAAAACGTTACAATTTTTCTTTAAAATCCTAAATAAGAAATCATATAGACATAAAACACGTGCGCTTCCGGATTCAGCTGCTCAACACACATGAAAAAATCTATAATTTAAATCAAAATTGAATCTTTATGGTCGTTGCAGCCCAATTTATTGACTTTTTTACTCATTTTTCTTCCAGAATTTTTTGCTTATATCTATTTTTTGACGGTTATGAGAGAAAAATTGATGGTGCACATTTGATTCAGTAGCTCAAAATTCGAAATTTAAACCATTTTTTAGAACGATAAGCAAATAAACACGTTTTTTGATATTCAATCAATGCGAAACTCGAGGTCGTAAAATTGACAAAATAAACCATTTATTTTTTTAAAATTATTATTAAAAAATCAATACTAATAACTGATATCGCAGCGTCAAAGATATTATTTCCCGACAAACCAACAAAGATACAGAAATAAATTAATCTAAGAATAACAATCATTTGTCCCAAGTCCCAATGATTGAATCCTGTTTATTTGGAGTGTGGTTTACACTTATACAGGGTGTTCCACCGGGAACCGCCGCGATCGATACCTGGCAAATTATAATTAGAAGAAATTCAAAAATTGGGAAGTGTGCCGAATGTGCAAGCAGTCTAAAATATTTTCAAGATGGCCGGTATAACCGGAAGTCGGTATTAACTTACTTATTTTAAATGGACCACCCTATATATAATTACATTTTTGAATTCTACTCCAAATTCTAAATATATTTCATGTAGAATATCCTATATCCAAGTCTAACCGTTTATGATATATTTGAAATATTATGTGATAAATGACAGCTGCAGCCACACGAATACTTTTCTTCTATAAGCGAATATGGTCTACTTAGTTTGAGTCGCATTTCTTGTTGAAATTGACCTACTTCCGAACTACTGGAACTATTAATACAAAGGGTTTAAAAAGTAAGTTTTAAAATGGCGTTGAGAAAACGGCCAAAAATCATTTTTTTTAAATGGAAATCCCTACTTTTGATAATTTTGCCTTCTTCAGTATTAAAAATAAGGATAAGTTTGTATAAGGTTGTCAATTCCAAGTGTTTAGTTTTCGAAAAATTTTCGATTTAACCTTTTCATATGGCTATTTTTAATACAATCAAATGTCAAAGGAACCCTTGCACCTAATAATCATGCCCGAACGTTTGATTGATTCAAACGAAGATTATTAAAACTTATTTATTATTTTTGCAGAGTGTGATAAAGATTATTAATTGTTTTCAAAAGGTAACTGAGAGCTGCAAGCGTTCCTTTGACATTGGATTGTATTAAAAATAGCCATATGAAGAAGGCTTATTTATTAAGAAGGTTAAATTGACAATATTTCGAAAACTAACCCCTTTTGGAATAGACAACTTTATTATTATTTTTCTTATTTTTAATACTAAATATGATAAAATTTTCAAAACGGGAGGTTTCCATGTGAAAAGATTTATTTTGTGAGGTTTTCTCAGCGCCATTTTGACTTATTTTTTTAACACTTTGTATTAATAGTCTGTAAATTCCATTAACTTAAGTCCTTTTCAACAAGAAATACAACTCTCATTTTTTAGAAAACATTTCAAATATATCAAAAACGGTCAGATACAGGATATTATAGATGAAATATATTTAGAATTTTTTTGGAGTAGAATTAAAAAATGCAATAATATATAGGGTGTTCGATTTAAAATAAGCAAGCAACCGGAAGTGTGGTCATCTTGTAAATATTTTTGTACGATCTAGGAGGAGGTCTCGCTTTGCTGACTCACCCTGTATGGTCGAGCTTGTTGGTTGTTCAGGAACAATAGTTAGGTACTGTGGGATGAAAAAAAATACTCTCGGTATAGCAATGGATTATATATAATTCTTGTCTTGCATAAACTTACTGCTGCAGAAAATCAAAAAGCATTTAATTATTGTAGCAATTTCCAAGTATTTTCGATCTACAATAGGTTATATTGTGTTTATCTCTATTACACCATAAAATATTCAGTGCGTTTATTGTTCTACTTGATTATGTATAAATGTTCTGTTTCTAAACAAAAAATATATAAAACTGTTAATTTTAATAATTTCTTTGCCATGCTTATTTGGAACGCGTTAAATACCAATATAGATTTTCTCGTATTGTAGCTTTGGTGTATCTGATAAATTTAATACTGGCAACTGTATAAATAAAATTTAATATATCAGTTTAGCCGGCAATTGTTACTTTTGCCCGAATAAAATAGATGTTATTAAAAAAAAATCAGTATCCATCCATTTGCAATCCGTTTTGGCTTGTTCATATTGATGTTGAAGTTTGGTAGTGTTTTGATTAATATTTAACTAACACAATTATGTTTAATTTATTGTAGTACTTGTAGTACTTCACAAGTTTACGGAGATTTAACATTTACTTGCATTGCTTGAAGACATTAGAGCTTCTGCAATAGTTATCTATCTTCGCCAGTCTATTCAATCGTCGTGAAATCCTTGGTAATGAACAATAGCCACCGGCAAAAATGTATGATCGTCGTATTTGACAATGACCGTTTGAGGAAAGTTTTTTGAGGTGTAGCACATTTTCTTCGGAATGGTCATTGTCTGGTTTCCTATCTCGAATGTATGTCCTACAAGTACCTTTGCTATTATCATTACTTTGTTTAGTCTCCTTTTGTTATCATGATGGTATCGCGTCGCATAGAAAGGTTTCGTGGCGAATGAAATTCCACAGCCGAACTTGTGCTTTCTTATCTGAAACCAGAATTGATTCACAATTAAATAGTGTTTGGAGCAGTTGAAATGTGATATTGAAACTGTTTCTTTTTATCCGGGGATTTACAGGTTGATTCAAAATTGTCAGTCAATACGTGGATGTTTTGTGTGGGATATGTACGGCGTACAAAAAAATCTCAAAAATGGGAATATTCGCAAAAGCAAAAAATAACAAGTGAATTTAAAATACAAATAGAAAAAAAATCGGGTCATTTCACAACTGGAATTTAAGTTGTCCATTGAGTCTCCAAAATTGTCCAATTTGGCACAGAATTGCTTACATTCGTTTTCACAGTTTATAACAATGTTTGGATCCTATATCGCCGCTTGATGTTAAATGAGAATTTTATAGTTGAACAGTTGATAGCTTGATAGACAAATAGCTCTTCTTCAAACTAATACCTGATGCGCAGTTTTCTTCTCTCTGACTTCCGTAATCAGATGTTCCCGTGTCGCCTTTAACTCTCCTCGCCTCGCGTTAAACCCTGGATTCTCGCGTAGAAGAATGGACAGATTTAGGGTTACCAAAAAGATGGTAGAATATATGCATATTCGACATTGTTGTTAATTTTTAGTTTTGAAGAGCATAATGAAAAGCTACCCATCAATATGAGTTTGCAATGTGTTTTTTAGCAAATATCTGCCGGGATGCATGCTAATACTTATACTTATATAAATATATATTACTGCTTAACACTAAAATTGAGGGGCAATTAAAAAAAATCTCGTACTCTTCAAGTAAGATTCAGCAGCGCCATAAAAGCAAAGCTAACTGGATACATACCTTAGATCTGTCGAAGTTGAAAGTGCAAATTCCGTCTAAAAAATCCTGTTTTGTTCCGTGAAACATGAAAGTTTCGTCATATCCTTCTTTGTAAACTGTATCATACTTTTCTTTTGCTAGTCGGCAATGCAGGGAGTTAAAAATATTATGCACTGAGTTAATTTTGGTGATTGAAAAGTTATCCGCTATGTTCACTCTAAATAATGAAGCGTTTGCAGTAAATTCATAAGATGTTTGGGACAGTTCTTCTTCCAGGTACGGTCTTACAGGAAATGTGTGTAAAAGTTGTTCGCCCAATGATAATGCTAGTTCATTTAAAACATTTTCATTCGGTGTCACTTTCACCTGAATCAGTTTTGAGACGGGGTCTAACTTCTTTTCCTGTGGAGTTGGGCGAGTTTGAGAAATTATAATCGCCGTCTCCTTCCAACCTTCGATTGGTTCTACGTAAACTGGAATTGATGCAAAATTCCCCATTTTAGAACAATAGCGATTTCACACAATCCTGACTACCGACATTAGTCACTAAAAAAATTCGAGAATTTTGCTGTAATATAATAACTTGTCTTATCGCTTTCCTTTCTATCAAGAACCAAACGAACTGAATTTCGCTGCAATTGCAATAATCTTAATCTCATTACTGATATTAAAAGCTTGGTAAAAGTACATACTTGTGTTAGTACTAGCTCAGTCTTGTGGTTTAAACTGTAAATTTCGGTTATGCACCACCCCCAGGAAAAACCTGGGATATCTCGTGATACCCGCAATCGAAGCAGAACGATAGCAGAAGTTTATAAAACCCGGATTGGCTAACACTCGGGGTACCAAAAACAACAAATTGTATTTAATATTCAACTGACTGTCGATCAGCTTTGCTTCCAAATTCCTTACTTTTCCGATAACTGTTCCGTTGTTTCTATCTTTTCTGCAATCATTGCAAAAGCTTTCGTAAATTTTGCCCACTCTTTGCTGACAATATTTTTTGTATCTACTATCCACATATAAGGCTCTATGTTAAACCAGTATCCGAAGCAATAGTTGCCGGGTAAAAGTATCCTCGTGTAAAAGGGCTCTAAGAGCCCTTTCATGGGTGAGAAAGCAAATGTGTCGTAAATAAAGTAGTTGAGGGCATTTATGGCTGTTAGAATGATCGTGGAAAATTATTGTTTTTATCTCATTTTTTATTTTATTTATCTTGTTTAAATGGAAAGGCACTTACGGGTGTTTTATGGATATTAACATAATCCGAAATGACTTACACATTACATTATCTCACATCCTTATTTGGCTCTAAAGTGGAACAGCAAGCAGCGTTCGTCCGTCGTGCAAACCTTTAATTCCAAGCAGAAAAATACTTTTGATTGAAAATGTATCATTGCTTATTTTAGTATACACGGTTGAACTTTAGAAGAAAACACTTTCTACGAAAGTTTATGTTTCAAAGGTGCACATTTTAAAATTACTTTTGAATATGCGAGGTGCGTCAAAAAGTGTGGTAGTTACTGGTAAATTAAATTTGGTTAGTGGTTCATTATTTTGGGATTTATCGCCAAATTTTAGTGTAAGTTTATTTCAAAACTTTTAATTGAAAAATTTACGGTTTGCGAATTATTGGAAAAAAAACATGAACATTTTGACAACTGGTTTCCACAGAAATTCGTGCTTTACTCTAATTGCTGCGAATTTTGAAATCGGTTTTTGGACCTCCAAGAGTAACTACTTAGCAAACTACGTGCTGACATAAGTGATTTTACGAAAAGTTTTTCATGAACCGCCCATTAAGCATGCAAAATTGCATGTTTGTTAATATCAATAACTTGGTTATTTCAATTGGTGCACCGTTTTTTTAAATTTTTGAATTTACCGTCAGATTTTACAGCTAGCTTTTGTAAGGTGTACTAACGTTAAAGCTTATCGTTTCTAAGTTATTAGCAAAATCTGGAAAATTGTTTCACTTTTTCTTTCAGGTCAGGGCTCAGATCGACTGGGCAAATGTTGCCAATTCAAAAATATATTAAATAAGAAACGTAATATTAGAAACTAATTTTTAAATATACATTATTACCTCAGATTAAACAGATTCATTTGTTTACATTTTTAAATGTGAGCAACATTGATTCACAGTCTGTATAAAAGTAGGTACTCACGAGGCTGCTTTGCCGGCTCAATATTCAATTTGCTATATATGAAGAAGAAAATATGAAGAAAAGGGTAGCCATCAGAGTATTTAGTGTTATCTTGTTCAGTTTGTAGTAAGCGACAAGTAAATGTCAATAAAATAAATGCGTTGAAATTTTAAATTAAAAAAATTATAAGAAGTTAAGGTGGTAATTACAAGAAAACTTAATGAAAAATTCATCATAACAACACCGTTAAAGAGGGGAAATGCGGAATAGTATCATTGTAGTAAGGGGAAATGTAAACAAGGCGCAGTCGTAGGACCCGGTGTTTCGACATTTTGAGTGATTATTTTCATTTTTGGGTAATTTACGTCAAAGAGTGATTAAATAGAGTTCATCAAGGATTTAAAACGAGAAGAAATGGTGCGAAATTGGTTTATGTGTGGGAAAAATAAGATCAATTTCCCCAACCACTCTTTGCACAAGTAAGTATTATGTAGAAAATAAATATGGTCCAGTGGCGTAACTTATGTTATGTGTACATAACATTTCGATAGTTGCTTAAATTTAGTATTCAGAAATAATGTACCTACCTATTTTATAGCATCCCTAGGAAAGCAATTCGAAGAGGCGAATGGATAAGAGCTCTTGGATTGAAATTATATGAGGTTTCAGTGAAAAATCTACTTATTTGCTCTGACCATTTTAAAGAACATCACTTTTATTATGGGAGAAATGGAAAAAGATATTTAAAATGTGACGCTACAC